TGGTCAAACACTGCAGGATGCTGGGCAGTCCCCATCCCTCTCTGCCTCTGACATCAATGGCTTGTGAGGTGACATCAGTGGCAGCCCCCTCTCCAAAACCATCACCCTCAGGCAGTGACACCAGGGAGAAACCCAGGGACACTTCTGACAGCACCACTGAGTCAGCTCCCTGCTGGAAAGGTTGGGGGAATTACGAGTCACAAATGAGGTGCTGAGAGAAGCTGACACCCCCCAGGCAGGAAGGGGGGCAGGAGGAGGGCACGGGGGGTGGGCTCCCCAGCCCTGGCTCGCTGCTGCCTTCTCCCAGGGAGGACCTGGAGCAGGGTCAGACAGCACCACTGGAACGGCCAGATGAGTAATTCTGGTTTGGGCCTCACTCAGTGCATCACTTTCCTGATTTTTTTTAATTTTTTTTTTTACTGAAGCAGACAAAAAGGGTGCTGGAGGCACAACGGCTGTGTGAGCCCTGGCTGACCTGACCTCCTCTGAAATAAAGCAGTGAGGCTTCAGTCACTGCTGTCTAGGGATTCTCCCACCCCCTCTTCATCACCCAGCATTAAACCTTTATTGCTGTGACACATCACCACACTGAGCAACTCCAGTTTCCAAAAACCTTCCCCAAAAGCGCCAGGAGGAGAGGCAGGATCCCAAAATCCCATCTCTTCCCTCCGCTGCCTTGGCTAAACCATCACCCACCGAAGGCTGGATGTGGGAGACCCCCTCCTGCTCCTCCCTGCTCTCCGGGGTGGGGTTTAATTAACTCTGGGAAGCGAGATCCGGGATAAACAGCCCGGCTGTGCCAGCTGCAGCAGGTCCTGGCTCGCCACATTCCTGTGCCCTGCCCCAGCGCCACCGAGCTCAGCTGTGGTGACAGCAGGAGCCACCAGCCCACGGTGGCCAGCCAAGCTCAAACACCTCACCAGGTGCACCTGAGCCACCCCGAAGTGACAGCTACCTTTGGTTCTGTCAATTGGTGATTTTTTGATGTTTTTTTTTTTTTTTTTCCCTCGGATTTCATTTTGGGGGAAGCGCTCCAGATTCTTGCAGGAATCCCTTCCCTGCACAGCTCGGAAGGAATGCAGGGTTGATCCTGCTCTCGTCTTCCTCACGGGGACAAAGTGTCCCCTGGCATGATAGAGCTGAGATTCTTCCTGGAGGAAATGCCCACAGAAGCTTTGGCTGCCTCATCCCTGGAGGAGTTCAAGGACAGGTTGGACAGGGCTTGGAGCAGCCTGGGAGAGTGGAAGGTGTCCCTGCCCCTTCTCACCCAAACCATTCCACGATTCCATGACTGGGGAGGCACCAGGATCCTTCACTCCTGAGCACTGTAAGGCAGAGAGCCCAAAAATCCCTGCCAGGTGACCCAGGGCTGAGTGTTAATGCTGTGAATTCCGCAGGTGAAATGTGACAGCGTTAAGAGTTTGTCCAAAAACAACACCGTGAATCAAAGAGGGTCCCAGCTCAGAACTGCCAGCTCCAAGCACAAGCCACGCTTTGAAACCCAAGTTCAAAATCCACTGTGTAAAAGATAAACAAAAGCCAGGCTTAAGCTTGCTTAGCCAGGAGGCCAAGCTACTCCAGCTTGTAGATGTCTCCCCCAAAACACCCAAGAATTTGATTCCATGGCCCAGGCTGATGGGTTTTCCTTGGCCAGACAGGACAAGCCCATGCCTGGGGCTTTCTGGCACCTTTGCTCCCAACCAGCAAACCTCAGCCCTGCTTCTTCAGCGTGTAAAGGAGGATGAGCCACTTGCACTGAGCAGCACAATCTTCATCCCATTAGTTTCACCATTTTTGGGTTCTCAGGGTCTCCCAGCTGATCAGGAGCTGCTGATGATGGAGACAAAGCAATGCAGAAACCCCCCTAAGCCTTCACGTGAGTGACCCCCCTGTCTCATCTGTACCTGGGGGAATCATTTCCCTGGGGAATTCTGCTGTTTGCCAAACTGAATCCACAGAGCTGTTATGTTTAGAAACATCTCAACCGTAGCTCATTTGATTCCAGTCATTAAAATTTAATATTAGCGTGAGCTTTGAGAAACCTGAGCTGACAGCAGAGACAGTGGAGGGGGAAGAAGTGTCCCAGCCTGGAAACTCCTAGGAGCAGCTCTTGCTGATGCCTGGCACTTGTCCCTCGTGCTGAAGAGCCCAGCTTGGCTGTGTGAAGCCCAGCACAAAGGCACTCCTGACTGTCAGCACCTTTTTACACAAAAAGAAGCTGCTCAAGAGAGGCAGCAATGGAGCCAGAGCCACTTGGGTTAAAGTCCTGCTGGAGATCAGGAGTTAAAGATGAGGTTCCTTTGCTCTGACAGCTTAACATGAGCTAAAGCCATGTTATTTCTTCTGTGGCACAGCTGGATCCCATGCGATCCATCGGGATGTCCATATAAGCACAGGCTCCAAACCACAGAAATGCCTTTCAGCTGCACTTGATCTCACCAGAAAACTCAGGGCTGAATCTGATGACCCCTTAAAGTCTCCTCCAGATGGGCTTTCTTACAATCCTGCTACAACCAACCACTGCCTGCCTGTTTTTCCCACACTCCCAGAACTCCAGCTCCACCCTGGATCGTTGTCCTGGCTCCTGATGGCTGTGGGAGCTGGTGAGGACCTGTCCCCAAAATTGCTGAAGCAAAAAAAAAACCCTCCTGCAAACAAAGCTTCCCCCTGAGCATGATCTGACAGCTGCTTCCCAGCCTCCTGCCTCGGAGGAACTCAGCCAGGAGGAAAACTTACAGCAGGAGAGGGCTCATCCATCCCAAAGCCAGGATTAGTCCCTCTGTGACCTGGGAAAAGGGCTGGGGGGAATAGAGAGGAAATGCACAAATGGCAGTTTTCCAAAAGTTAAGGAGGTTGTGGCCTTTTGGGGGAAGAAAAGGGAAAAGAAAAATAACATGGGAAGCTTCAAATGTGAGCTGCTTCCAAAGTCATCCGTTCCCAGCCTCCACCAAGCCTTCAATGTATCTTCTTTATTAAAATCTGGACACAATGAGACCAGAAGTGCCCACCTTTGTCAGGGCTCTATTGGCAACTTGCCTGGAGCCCCGGGGCCGTGCCTGATTTGCATCTCATTCACACAGATGTTCATTAAAATTAATGCCTTAAGACATAATATCTGCCTGCATTTGAGCCTGCTGGACAGACAGAGCTCCTGTCACCCCATCCCTCACCCCAGAGCACTGCCAGCATGAGCAGCTCCTCTGCTCCACCAGGACACTCCAGGCACGCCCCTGGTTTGCAATCCAAGGAGGGCAAGAGTTGTGATATTGTCTTAGAGAGAGAATTTGTTGGGAAATGGAAGCAAGAGCAGCCCCCTGAGCTCCCCACAGAGCACGAGCCAGGCTTTGCCACGGCTCTCCCTCCAGTCCCTGCTGATGCTCTTCCACGTGCAGATCAGGATCTGGGATTGTATTCCCCTTAGGTAGGAGCAGAAGGGGAAGCTTTGCCAAGATCAGCTCTGCAGCCTTTAGGATTTGTGCAGAAATCCCCGGGGATGGGCCGTGCAGGAAAGGAGGAATGAAGGAATGCTGCTGTAACCACCACTGCTCCATCCTCCACTCCTGCTTCTCCCCCATTTCATTCCCAGCCATTACGCAGCAAAACCTTCCCAGCCCTGCTGCCACTTGCACTTTCCCACCCACAAAGGCCTCAGCTGCTCCAGGTGGCCTCGATGGCCAGGGAATGACTCTTGGTAAGGACACCTGAGAGCCCCAAACCCCCTCAGCTCAGGTCACCCATGCCTTAAAGGGTCATCCTCAAGGTCACTGAGCTGAGGACCACGTGCAAAACCCCACGGTGGGTTAAGCTGCTCCTGCCCAGCCTGGGTTTTGTCATCGTTCCTAATGAGAGCTGCTCAGCCAGGAATAATCCCGATTTTAAGGACTAAAATCTCCTTTTTGGGTATATTTGCTCCAAGTGACTCTGTGGTGTTTAATGGTGAATTTAAATCCTTCCCGTGGACATCAGCTCAAAGCAAACTGCCCAACACAAGCAACACCATCAGGTGAGGTTGAATTTGTCCCATAAATACACTTCAGCTCTTTTTTTCTTGCACAGGCAAACCCCAAACCAGAAACACCTTGTCCTGGTGAAGGTTTCACAGAGCTGCTCAAGTGGTGGAACGGGATCAATTAGCCATGAGATGAAAAGTAAATGGCTGTAAAACTGCCTCTCCCTCCCACCCCCCCATTAACACCAGGAAACCAGCAGCCAGATGTAAATCAGCCCAATCATCAACTCCTGAGCACATCAGGAATAGAAGTTTCACAGCAAGAGAATTCCTAAGCCGTGTTAATATAATTAATGTAGTGTAACAGCATGACCCAACATCATAATACTGTATAGAAATATATCAAACACACTCCAGCTCTTCCCTCTCTCAGTGCTTCATGCAAGTCTTGATGGTCTCCATCAGCTCCTCGCTGGAAATGTGAACAGCCACATAAAACTTCACCTTGGTTTTATTTCCTGCGTGCACTCCTTGTCTCAGAGTTTATCTGTGGCTCTTTTTGTACCCAAGGATCCCAAAATGGATGTAACGTGTGACCCAGATGGAGTGAACAACAACCAGGAACAGTGGGCCAGGCAGAGCCAGACCTACAGGATGATCTGATGTGGACTAGACTCCCAAATAGTGCAAATTCACAGCTCAGGTGGACTCAAACCCCTCCCTCCCCCAAAATCTAAACATCACCCACCTCTACCAGCCCACGAGCTGCTGGCATGCCAACATCACACATCACCAGCAGAACAGGGATTTTCCTGCCAATCCCAGAACCTTTCCACACCTTTTCACCACAGACTATCAAGTCCACCAGCAGGATTTCACATTCCTCCAGAGCAAGGACATTTCAGTGCAAACCCACTCACAACCACAGCAACAAAAACCACAAGAGACACCACGGCTCGAAGCCCACCAAAAAAAAAAAACAAAAAACAAAACGCCTTCCGCAATGCCAAAAACCACTTAAAAAAAATAAAAATCATGGAATCAAACTGACCTTGAAGTCTGCCAGCTGCTGGTTGATGGTTTCCACCTCTGTCCCCACCACCCACTGCAAGGCTTCGTTCTCCTCGGCCGCCGTGGTCATGTGGCTCAGCTCCTTCAGGCGGCTGTAGAAGTCCTCGACGCGGGACAGCGTGGTCTCCACCTGCTCCTGCCGGTTCCTGCCCCTCTCTGTCAGCTTGCTGCACTGCTTGCTCAGCGTCTCCAGCTCCCTCCTCAGCCCCAGCAGGTCGGGGCTGCCCTCGTCCTCCAGCATTTTCTTGCACTCGCTCTCCGAGGATTCGATGTCGCATTTCAGCCGGTGCAGCTTGCCCAGGAAGGCGCGGACGTCCTCGGCCTGGGACTGCAGGCTGTCAGAGTCTCTCCCGATGGGGCCCATGCTGTCCAGCTCATCATCCAGGTCTGCCAGCTGGGAGAACATCTCCCTGACCCTGCTGTTGAACTGGCCGATCCCTTCCAGCTTGTTCTCCATGAGAGCGCAGCAGTCGCTGACTTTCTGCTTCACGGCCTTGAAGTCCTGCTGAGCCACCTCAGCTTGGCTGAGGAGCTGGGAGCAGTCAGATCCATCTGGAGCATCTTCTACCAGACCTTGAGTGAGGTTTTTCAGATAATCCACCTGTGGCTCCAGGGCCTGCAGCACCTCCTGCTGTGCCCTGAGCTTCTCCAAATTCTTGTTGCTGCAGGCTTGTGGCCCCAGGGCATCGTAGATCTCCAGCTGGTGCTTCGCTCCTTCCAGCTTCTTCTCGATGGTCTTGAAGCTCTCCTGGAACTCCTTGAGCCTCTGGGACATTTCTTCAATGGAGCCAGTCTTGGTTTGCAGCTCTTCTGTGATGGCATCCATCTTCTGGTTGATGCTGGCCTTCTCATCCCGGATGTCATCCTCGTCTGTCTGGGAAGCGTCAGTCAGGATGTCAGCAGCACTGTTGAGCATCTCCAGCAGGGACCGGCGCTTCTCCACGTCACTCAGCATGGCCTTGGACCTCAGAAGAGTGGCCTCCAGCTGCACTGGATCCAGGGTTACCTCCAGCTCTGCCATCCTCGCCTTGCAGTCCTCCACCCAGGGCAGGAGGTCGTCCGCGTGCCGCTGGTACTTCTGAGCTTTCTGCAAGCAGTCCTTGAGCTTGGAGTGCCTGTCAGCAGCCTGCTTGCTGAGCTCCTCCCAGTGTGTTTTCAGGCTCACCAGCTGGTTCTGCAGAGTGGTCTTCTCCTCCCCAGGCTGGACTGAAAGCAGCAAAGATTCTCCCTCGGCCACAATCATCTCGTAGGAGCCGCTGTGTTGGTTGAGGCTCTTCTGGAACTCTTCTTGCTCCTGGATTTGGCTCTGCAGCCTCTCCAGCTTAGCAGAGATGGGTTGGCTCTGGGCTTGCTGGCACCTTTTGTCATCCAGCCAGGTCCTGAGTTCATCAAACATGTGCTGGAACTGCTGGGAGCTCGCGAGCGCAGTCTGCAGCCGGTTCATCCGGTCGGCTGGAACGGCAATGAGATTAGAAGGCGACAATTAAACTCAAATCAAATAAGCGAGGTGCAATTATTTAAAATCATCTCAGATGCACCGACTGTGTTTTGATTAACAGGAAGGAGCTTTCCATTGCATCACCAGCCTTTTTTTCCTAACTGATTCATAAATTTCTTAAGTAGTAAGAGGCAGAGGTAATGCAGAAGTCTCAGCTCTCCTGACCAGTCTCTAAATGTAAACTCTGAAAAACCAGGATCAGAGGGTGGCCACTGGGGTTTCTTCATCCCCAATCTGAGTTTAGGAACCTGTTTATTTTTCCAAGCATGTGCCATCCTACTTGGTGAAGAGTCACATCAGCAGGGCTAAACACCTCTGCTCCCTCTCCATGCTCAGGTATTTCTGGAGTTGGAACTCTCCCATGCTTGGTGCCACCATAAAACACCCAAGAAGAACCCTAAAAAGTGATAAATGGTGCTTCTCCTATTATTTTCATAAACCCAGTGGTGGGAGAGCCCTTTGGCAAAGAGCAAGGGTGCAGCTTGACATCCTGACACCTCAAGCAACTCCTCCTCTATCTCACCTGCCAGATCTTCCAGGCCTTTGAGGGGAAGTGCCACCGTCTCCAGACGTTTCCTCAACTCATCTTTGAGGTACTGCTCCCCAATCAGGATGGAGAGGTCATCACAGAGGGTCTGAGCCTCTGAGATCTCCTCCTCCAGCTGCTCCAGGTCCGAGCGGATCTCGCTGGTCTCCTCCAGCTGCTGTTTGACAGCATCAGGCTGGGTGCTGATGGCAGACTGGCTGCTCAGGCGCTGCCCAACAGCCTTCACCTTCTCCGAGAGGCCCTGGAGAAGCTCCTGGTACTGGGTGCTCTTTACTATGGCTTGGTCAATCTGGCTGGAGCGGGAGTTGAGGCGCTCGGTGAGCTCGGACCATTTCTGGTTGACCCCTTGGAGCTCCTCCTGCACCTGGCTGGTGGATGGGGAAACATCTCCAGGGCCAGTCAGGATGCTCTGAGCTGCCTGGTTGAGCTGCTCGTGCTGCTGTCGGCGAGCTTCGAATTCCTTCAGCATAAACTGGAACAGAAATAACATAAAAATGTTTGCATAAAACTGACAGCTCCGAGTACACACAGTCAAAACAAACCAGACCTCCAGGGGCTTTATCCAGCCCATGGAATCAGCAGGAACAGGCCCTGGGGTGGGACAGCAGTTGGGCTGGGTAGCCCAGGATTTACTGTGACCTTGGGAGTTAAAAAGCTGGGAGGGGTCTGCGACTCCAGGACTTTGCTCTCTCTCTTATTTGTCTTATAACGTAGCACAAACCACTTAGATGAGATGAAAATCTAATTATCTCCACTGGGGCTTTTTTGCTGCATGATGTGGCTGGTTACAGCCATGTTAGGATTTGGAAGCAGGAGGAATGGAAGGGCCAGGCTGGCAGGCAGAGGGGCAGCATTAGCAAGTCCTGCAGAACATCAGCACAGGCCTTGTTTAAAGCAATTTCACTCTCCAAGAGGGGCCAAGTGATTCACTGCTGAGTCAATCCAGCGCTGGAAGGGAGCTCAGCACTGCACCCTTTTCAAGTTACTCACAGTGGTTTGGGCTCAGCGGGGTTTGGAGGACTTGGAAGAGGAGCCACGAGGTCTCTGAACACTCACAGCAGGTCAGAGTGCTCACCAGACAAGCCCAACCTCCCACCTCCCTCCTGGGCCAGACGCTCTCCTCCATCCCGCGCCCACCACGAAGGCACCAAAAAAACCCCCTCTCACCTGCACCTGCTGCTTCTGAGCGTTCAGCATGTTGGGGTCGATGGACAGGGGGCCCAGCACGCTCATCATCAGCTCCTTCTCCATCAGCCAGGGCCTCAGCTGGGCCTCGGTGGCCTGGAACGTGGCCAGCTGGGTCGCCGACTCCTCCAGCTTCTGCTGCCGCGCGGCCGTGGCCTGGCTGGCCCTCTCCCACCTGCAGTCTGAAGCACCACCACCTCTGTTGGCCGTGCTCAAGCTCCTGGCCAGCCCACCCCACCACCACCAAGGTTGTTTTCCCCTCCTTGTGGTTTTCCCAATAGGAAATCTCTGGTTTCCAGTAAAACCAGCGTGGCTCTGTCCACTCTCCAGCTAAGAAGCCATTACTCAAATCTAGGGGCTACATGGTCTGGAAGCTCTGAGGAGAAAACCCTGAAAGCAGGATTTCTGTGCCCTAGTCACTGCTGCCATGACCTTGGGTGAGCCATCTCACATCCCTGGCCTGATAAATGAGGATACTCTCATGAGTGCCTGTCCTCACACAGCACACTCAGATCTCCTGCATGGAGTCAACACATTGCTGCTACTTCAAAGGAGGGAATCTCTGGGCTTCTTTTTGAACACACAGCCTTGTTTAGTCAACACTTAATTACCTAGGGTAGCCTCACTAATGACTAGAATTTTATATCAAGCAGTGAAGCTTTTAATCAAAACAATCAACCTGTGCTGCTAACACATTTCCCCTCCCCCCCCCATTTTTTTTTTAAAGAAGCAATTTAAGGAGGCAATCCTTTAAAATCCACATCCATCACAGAGATTTCATTAATCACGACAGTGCTCATCTCAGGAACACCTTCCACACCAGACAGCTCGGAGATAGGTTTGCTATTTACTGAATTTTAATTAGAAGTGACTCTGCTCTAGCGTGACTTTGGGATCGCCCCTCACTCCTGAGCCACGTCTAACATGATGTTTGGAGACAGAAGCCTCATTAATGCTTCAGGCACTTACTCAGGTCTTCCTGCATCTTCTTCCAGTTCGCTGCTTCTGGGGAATCTGGATATTTCTCCAGCAAGCCAGAAAGTGCTTCCTTTACCTTCTGGATCTTCCCAGAATTCTGTTCCAATTCAGCCAGAAATGCCTGGAAAATAATGATTTGAACTTCCTCAGATACAGGGCAGAAAAATCAAGGAGTAGGGACAAAAGCTGAAGCTGGATAATTTCTGTTCTTTGCTCTTTAGATAAATCAATTTTTTTAGCACTATTGTGAGCTAATGTGGCCACAAGGGCAGGGAAAGGCTGGGAATTGCTTTCCAGGAGAAGATGGAGTGACTCAGCAGCAAGGGCTCCAAATTATCTCTTTTTCCCTCAGCCTGACATCAACAGGTCTAAAAGCAAAGGTGAACTTTGGGCTGCTTCTCCATGAATCTGCCTGGAATTCACAGAATTCACAGAATGACCAGGTTGGAAAAGACCTTCAAGATCATCAAGTCCAACCCAGCCCTAACACCTCAACTAAACCCTGGCACCAAGTGCCACATCCAGTCTGTTTTTAAACACATCTAGGGATGGTGACTCCACCACCTCCCTGGGCAGGCCATTCCAGAACTTTTATCATCATTTCTGTAAAAAACTTTTTCCTAATATCCAACCTATATTTGGTGCAGCTTGAGACTGTGTCTGGGAATGCCCTTCTTTAACTCAGGGCAAACCCTTGGGGCTAATTCTGTGCAACAAAGCCCATCTCTGGGATCCTCTGGGAGATGCCCAGCAGAGGGGTGGAATGGGATGATCTTTAAGGGCCATTTTGTGATCCCATGATCCCAGAAAGTCGGGAAGAGCAGTCACCTTGTTGTGCTCAGCCTGGGCTCTCATCGTCTCCGTCTTGGTGGGCGAGGAGGAGGCATCCAGCTCGGACAGCACCCTTTCCTTGGACTCCAGCCACTTGAGCATGGAGCTGGCCTCCTCCTGCACCTCCTGCATCCTGTCCAGCATGGCTGAGAGCTGCTGCAGGCGCTCCTGCAGCGCTGCACCCAGCGCCTGGTACCGCCGGCTCACGTCCGACACGTCGCACTGGATCTCCGTCAGATCTGCGGCCAAAAACCAGCCCGGGGTCAGCACCACTGCCCCCCGTCCTCCACCTCACACCATCAGGTTCTAACCCAGCCCCAGGCAGCCACAGAGAGCTGAGATGAGGAGCAAGGCCACGCTCTGTCTGCCCGCCTGCGGAGCGACGTCGCATCATCCTCACCTCTCCTGCCACGGGGGATTTTCCACTTGTCCCCCCTATGCCCTTTGACAGTTTACAAACAAAGCTCTCTGTTGGTGAGCTTGATGCAAACTGAGCCCCCTTTTCATAAAGCCACTGCTAATACAAGGTTAAATTATTTGGCACCAAGACATGAAGCCATTTTTATGCACCTATTATCTCGTTGAACCGGCGAACTAACAGCAGATAACGGGCAGTAATTAAAATTGCTCTTCAAACTGGAGGGTTGGATGCTGTTATAATCCCACAGAACCAATAAATTTAATTGCAGGCCTTAAAATGATCTCCCATTTATCAGCTCCTAACACCACCTGATGAGGTGTCAGGGTGCTATCACTCCCCAGGGCTGCCCCTCTCCGTCCTTCAGCCCGACCTCCACCCTCCATGGCAGCAGCTGAGAATTCCCAACCCACTGCCAAGCTCATTTCCCTTCTGCTGGGATGCTGGCAGTGTCACACTGAGGTTTGTATTCCCAGGGAATGGAAATGCCTGGATGAAAAAGGGACAGGGGCATGCATAGCTCAGTGGTGCTGACAGGGAGCTCACCTTTGCAGGTGTGGTATCCGTTCACGCTGCCTCCCGAGCCTCCTGGAGTGGGCAGAGTGGCACCTGGGCAGAGGGGACAGGGACAAGAGGGACAAGAGGGACAAGGCAGAAGTGTCAGGGATGCAGACAGTGAGTGATGAATGGCTGCTGCATGACAGGGACCACCAAGCACCGACGTGGTGCCTCCCCACCTGCCCAGCACTGGGCATTAATTTGGTTTGGAGTTCCTTTATCTCTCCTCCTCCTGTCCCCTCACTTTCCTGGAGCTGTTCCTGCCTTTCTGAAGCTTCTGGAGCTGGGAAGCTCTCCCAGCATCCCAACATCACCCAGAGAGCAGGGATAATGTGGCTCCTGCATGGGCTGCAATGCTGAGGACCACTGGCATCTCACCGTGCCTGGGAAGCTGCTACCCTGAGCATGATTTTGTGACTTATACCCAATAAAACTGCTGAATGCCTTCCCTGAAGGGATCAATTCCCCCATATCCTCCTTTTTTATGGGATGAAACTATTCAAACCAGCCCTGTGCTCATGCTGTCTTTGTCCAGAGATGCAGGATGCACCAGTGTCCCTTCTCTGGACACCAGATGTCATAACCAAAGGGAGATTCACATTTTCAGGCAAGTCTCTCTTTTCTAACCACACATTTTAAAGCTTTCATGGACATAAAGGGCTGCACCTTTGGTCACCCACAAGCCTCTCCTCACTTCTCCTGATGGTTTCCCTGAGAACTGTTCATGAACTTAATCCTAACAAACAAATCCAGACCGTGAATTCCCATAAATTCCCATCAGTGATGAGAGTCCAGGGACTTGTTCTCACAAGCTGGAAGACATCTTTGAGCTGGTTTCCAAATGAACCAGACATAATCTCATTGCTTCACAGACTTGAAGCCAAAAGGGAGACCAGTAAATCACATCTGACTATTGCAGCCCCAAATGTCATCCAGACGTGAAACCCAAATGCTGGAGGTTGATTAAAACACTCCAGCCCTCAGGAGGCTGTAGAACATCACCAGGAGAGAGCAGGAGCCACTTCCACGAGCTCCCCAGCTCTACCAGAGAGTGATATGTGCCCCCACAGCAAACACAGGGCAATTCAGAGCTCGTTAGGCTACAGTTAATTAAGCCAAGCCAGGATGATGCATTAAAGCAACGAGTGCCAGTGACTCAACCACTGGGCTGAGCCCCGTGATACTCAGATCACCACAGGCCCTCTGAATTTGGCTAAAAGGGGGAAATAACCCCATTTTTGGCTGAAGGCAGGCTCAGAGGAGATGCAGTGCTGACAGCAGAGTTGTCCTCAGGAGCTCTGGGCACAACTCACCTGCCTTGGGCGGGGTGTTGGGGGCCGTAATCTCCACGATCAGGTTCTCCAGGAGGGTCCCTCTGCGGCCAATCTCCTCCACCTGGGGCCCCTTCCCTTTCCATTCCTCCAGGAGATCCTGCTCAAAAGCCAAGTTTGGGATTGGAGGCCACACTTGCCCGGCCACAGCCCTGTCCCCTCTGTGGTGACACCAGGACACAGCACCCAGGGAACCAGCTGATGGCTGCTCTGGGGGAAGTGGGTGTGACACATCTATTTCTGCCAGGCAGGGGGGGAATCAAACAGCAAAAAAAAGCTCTTCCCAACTAATGGGTCTGTTGAAGGAAACCTTCTCCCTCCCACCACTCTGGGGACATCCCTCCTCCCCCTCCCTGAAGAGCCCAGCCTGGCTGAGCCCAGTCCTGGGTGCTGTGGGGTGTGAGGGCTGTGGGTGACTCAGCAGAGCTGCTCTGCCTCTGAGTCAAAGCCCAGCACATCCTGAATTGTCACATCCCTCTGCTGGAGCACAGCGGGGGCTCGGCTGACAGGAGGCCACCTTCCACATCTACCACAGGAAACGCTCAGAAAAAAACAAACCTGAGTGTGCTCAGGTCTCCCACTCATAAATCCTGCCCAGAGCAAGCACAGGGAGTGACAAGAAACCAGGCAGTGCCCAAGAAATCTGTCACACTGCTCCCTGCTCTGCAAGCCACTGGATGCATGCTGAGACCACCAGCAAGCCTCTGCTTCCAGGGATTTGTTTCACATTCCAGCATTTCAAGGCTTTCCCAGTTTGATTCCAGCCCCCTTGGCCCACCTGGATCTGCTGCCTGTGCTGCTGCAGCTCCTGGGTGCCCAGGGAGGTCTCAGCAGGTGGAATTTTGCCTTCACTCTCCCTCAGCCACTTCCTCATGGCACCAACCAGATTCCGAAACTCGTCCAGCTGCTCCTGGCAGGATGATGCATCCTTTTCTCTGGGAGTGAAAAGGTTTTGGAGAGTCAGAGCTCGTGCTCTGCCTTGTAATTACCCCCTCCTGAATGCAGCACGGTTGTGTCCCTAGGAGCCCTGTTTTTAATTATAATTATTATTATTATTATTATTAGATGTTGCCTGGGAACAGCACAAAATGGGGTGCACCCAGTGCCAGCTCCCTCCCTGCTGCTGACCCCCTCAAATCCTGGCTGGTGGCACTTTTGGGCACTCCAGTGGTGGCCAACAGCCACGGGACCACCACTGCCAGCCTGGCCAGGCTCTTTGTCCTGGGAAAAGCAATGTTTTTGGGAAGATAGGGCTCATTCATGCCGTGTCCCCCCAGGCAACTGCATCCTGGGGGAGCCCAGGCTGTGCCTCCCCTCCTCCCTGGCCACAGCTCCATCCCTTCAGCCCATCCTGGGGGACAAGGCAGCCCCTGGATGGGAGTCACGGGCCCCTCTGGCTTGTCCTTGCTGGCCACAGCTGTGAGCAGCCTGCACAGCTCTGAATTACTGGGGATTATTGGGAGTTTTCATCTGCTTTCCCCCACCACCTTCCCTGCACTCTGCTGCAGGGATTTTGGAGCTGCAGCCAGAGAGGTGTGGCTCCCAGGGATGCTGCTGCTCTGACCCTCCTCAAGCTCCCTTTTATCCCCATTTTCAGGGCACACCAGGAACAGGCTGCTCTGCTGTCACCTCCCAGCTCCCCAGTCCTCCCAGCACCCAGCAGGATGCTCTGGGATGGAGCTGTGGCACCCACACAGGAGCTGGGAAATGCAGAGCTCCTGCTCCTGCTGCAGCACCAGGAATTTTTCACAACGCCCCCAGCCAAGGCTTTTTTTAAAGCGTCAGCTGGAGCAGAGCTGCCTCAGGATCCTGGCGTGGGAGGAGGGCAGGAAGAGCTGGCTCCTGCCCCCCCTCCTTGGAAAGGAGATCTCCACAAGGCCTTGCTCAGACCACAAAGCCACCCTCATGCTCCCTTCCCTGGGACTCACCTGTCCTTTGCCACCTTTTGTAGCTGCAGGAAGTCTTTCTTCAGGCTCTGCAGCTTCTCCTGCTGCTGGGAGGAGCTGGGGGTGAAGCCACAGGAGCTCAGCTCCTCAGCCAGGTGCTCCAGGGTGGCCAGGTCCTCCTGGTGCTGCCTCATCTCCGAGTTCAGCTCCTGCCAAGAGCGAAGGGTGATGCTGACCATGTTCCCCAAGCAGCAGAGGGGATGAACTGGGCAGCCCCACGCCCTGCTGAGCTGGACAGACCCTCTGTGGGCAGTGCCACGTGTGGCAGCAGTGCCAAATGTTGGGCACAGCTCACTGCCACCTGCTCCTCCAGCTCAGCAAATACTTTGAGCAGCTGCAGGAGCAAACCCCACCTTCTCCAGTGCTGGTGACTGGGATGGGATGGGATGGGATGGGATGGGGGGCCCTAGAGCAAGACAAATCAACCCCTGCCACAGCACAGGAGTCTGGTTTTGTGTCATCTTCCAGCATTCCTGAGGCTGTGGATGAAGCACCCCCTGCAGCAGAACACTTGAGGTCCACAGCACCCCTGAAAGTCTCCAAGACAACCCTGAGCAACCTGGTCCAGGGGAAATTGTTCCTGTCCCTGAGAGGGCGCTTGGAATGAGATGATCTTTAAGGTCTTTTCCAAGCCAAACCATTCCAGGATTCTCTGGCTCTAAGACCTCCAAGCTCTCTGTCACTCCTGCACTGCCCTCACAGGGATATTTTGCTGTATTAACCCCATGGAGTCTTCAATTGGTAAAATCCTGCTACATTTGGACTGGATCCTAAAATACCCCATCTGAAAACCAGCCTGGCTCCTGGGAAATGCCACCCCCTTTTCCCACAGCTGGGAACAGCTGGATCCTGCCAGCCTGGACCTTTCCTCAGACACCTGGCGTAGGAGCATGCCCCTTGTTGACAGAGTGGCAAAACTATCTTGTGTCTCCTTAAAAAGGAAAGAAGCCCAGAAGTTTCTCTCATTGATTAGGTAAAAAGCCACCTCATAGGACCTCGGGGACTTCACTTCAAACTGAAGGGCAGCTGATTGGATAGAAGCCAAAAAGTCCCACCTGATCATTTGGGTAGAAAAAGAAGAGAACAAAGGAACTAAGGGCTTTTGTGAGGTGTTTTTACTAGGAGCAGATCTCTTGCACCTGGGTAATTTTTTTTCTGTTTATTATTTTACCTTTTATTAAACCCTTTTGTTTCCAACACTGCAGCAGAAGCCATCCCGCTTCTTTTATGCTTCCAAAAGCAGCTGAGCTACCTTGGGTGCATTGTTTCTTTGAGATCTTATAAGACCTGGCTCGAGGAAGACAATATAACAAGCTGGTGCAGGTGGAATCCTCCCCCAGGACTCACCTGGACGTGCTGGGAGAAGCGAGCGATGTCGCGGTCCGGCTGATTCCCGGACGCCAGCATCCGCGTCCTGCTCTCCGTGAACTGCTGCAGCTTCTCCCACAGCTGCTCGTACTGCTCCACCTTGGGCAGGAGGCCCTTGAGGGCGTCCTCCCTCTCCTGCTGCTGCTTATTATTTCTTTGAGATCTTATAAGCTGGTGCAGGTGGAATCCTCCCCCAGGACTCACCTGGACGTGCTGGGAGAAGCGAGCGATGTCGCGGTCCGGCTGATTCCCGGACGCCAGCATCCGCGTCCTGCTCTCCGTGAACTGCTGCAGCTTCTCCCACAGCTGCTCGTACTGCTCCACCTTGGGCAGGAGGCCCTTGAGGGCGTCCTCCCTCTCCTGCTGCTGCTGGCACAGCCTCCCGAAGTGCTCTGTCACCTGGGCCAGCTTGTCCTGCAGGGCAGAGGCGGCGGGGCTGTCGGCCGCCTCGGTGAAGCGTGTCACCATCTCCCGGGTGGCTTCCAGGCAGCTCCTCTGCCTGGCAATGTCCTGCTTCAGCTTCTGTGGGGAGCACAGGAGGAGAGGGAGGGCTTTTTAAGGAAGGTTCTTCAGCAGAACTAACTGGGCCGCCCTCGGGAGCGGCAGCAGGTGGTTTGACACAACAAGAGATGGGAAAAAATTGTTTCGTATCCCAGTTTTCCTTTCCTTTCTGACCTGCCCAACATGCTCTGCTTTTCCCTCTGTCTGAAATCTTGTTAGCAAATTAAAAAGGAGATTTTCAACAAGTCTGTGACCTTGCACAGTTTGCCCAGAGATGCTGGAGCTGCCCCACCCTTGGAAATGTCCAAGGCCAGATTGCAAAGGGCCCTGAGCAAGCTGGTCCAGTGGAAGGTGTCCCATGGCAGGGAGCTGGGATTAGATGGTCTTTAGGGTTTCCTGCCACCCAAACCATTCAGTGATTCTATGAAAATAAAAAGTTTCTGCTCATGTTCCTTTTTAGTGGTTTTTTTTTTGGTGCTTTCAGCACTCAGTAGTTAAACCCCACCAACCCCTGCATGGTGCAGGCACTGCTCTGGCGTTTTTGGGGTGAGGGAGCCGGGCCCAGCCTTACCACACTCGTGGCAAGCGAGTCCTGGATGGAGGCAGAGGAGAGCATGGCTGGCTGGTCCTTCTCCAGGCTCTTCTCAATCTCAGCCACGGACTGGAGGAGGCTCTCCAGGCTCTCCTGGACGCTCTGGGACTGAGCAATGGATTTCTGCAGCAGGTCCGAGCGCTCCGACATCTGCTGGGAGAGGCTCTGGAAGCGGCTCACGATGGCAGCTGCAGGGTTCAGCACAGAGGACACTCAGTGGCACAGAGCTCCAAGTGCTCAGAGAGCAGCCAGGGTCACCTTTGGCTCCCCCTAAAACTCTCAGTGATGACAAATCCCTGTCCCCACATTCAGCAGCGAGACAGGGGATGCAACACAAGTGGCCACATCCCTCCCCACATGCAAGCCCTGAGGAGGTTCTGCCACGTGATTACCCCCAAATTCCCCCAAAAAGTGACTTATCTTTGCCCCCTCTGGCTTGTTCCCACTCTCCCCAACCCTCCCTGCTAACGCTGGCAGCTGCTTTGCTCAGTACCTGTTGTTTCCTGAATGTGGCCGTGGTCTGGGGCTGGCTCCCCTTGGATGTCCAGCAGGGTCCGAGCTGCTTTCTGGAGCTTCTCCACTGGCACCTGGTGCTCAGCCAGGTCTCCCTGCAGTTGCTGTTTTCACACAAGACAAGCCAAAATCAGAGATGGGTCCCAGGCAGGACTGCCACACTCATGGAGCTCAGGGCTCCTTTCACACCCCCTTGAGGGATCCTCTGCACTTCATCACTAAATCGTTCAGAAATGATGGAAAAATCTACCCCCACACTGCAGGCAGAGCTGGATCAGAGGGTTTGGGCTGTCCCAGTGCTCTGGCACCTTCATGGGGGAGCAATGTCCCCCTCTATGTCCCTCTGGGGTGTCTGTGCCTGCAGCCCCTAAGCCCCCCAAGCACAAATTTGACCCACCTGGCTGCAGCACAGAACCTGCTACACCTGCAGGTGCACCTTTGCCCTCAACCAGCAAAAAAACCACCAAGAGGTCAAGTCTCCTCCCTGCTGCTGACTGCTCAGAGCAGCCAAATTCCCATCCAGGCTCCATCATTCCCCCAGAAAATCCCCCAGGTGTACCTTGGTGCTGGTGAGCTGCTTCTGCAGCATGGCCACATCTGAGGAAACCGTCTCTGAGAGCAGCTTCCCCAGGGCAGCTTCACTCTCCTGCAGCCACGTCCTGAGAGACTCTGCCACCTCCTGGAACTGCTGGTAGTGATCCAGCAAGGTGTTCAGGTGGGAGCCCAGCTTGGAGCACTGCAAAGGAGCAACGAGAGGTGACAGGGATGCACAAGAGCAATGCGTGGCAAAAGGCACAGGAATCAGCAAGAAAGAAAAAGCAATTAAAAAAAAATCAATCTTGCCACAGGCTAAATGAATTACCAGGGGTAACATGCTGACAAACAGCAAGACAAGGGTGTTGCCTAAGCCCTGAAGAAGACAATCCTTGTCCTACAACCTATAAATGTCCTGGAAGCTGGGACAAACATCCCTCTGCCATCCCTGCAAAGGAGGAAAGGAGCACCCAGCTCACAGCCCTTCCCATACCTTGGAGTGCAGCGTGGTGTACCTCTGCGTGGCATCCTCCAGCTTGCTCTTGACCACACTCCTGGACATCAACAGCTGGGATTCAGCATCCCCAGCATCCCCATCCAGAAACTTCTCCCCCGACATGGTGACGAAGCGCAGATCACCCTTGTGGGAGATCACATCCTCCGAGAAGCTGCCCTGCCGCCGCAGCAGCTGCCGGAGGGAGGCAGGGTCACCGTCCCCTTTGTACATCCCCTGCAGGTCTTGCTCTGCCTGCTCCAGCCAGGCCTGGAACTCTCCGTGGTCCTTCAGGAACTTCTGGAGCTCCTCCCGCAGGAGCTGCGCCCGTTTCAGCCGCGCCTCCGCGCGCGCCAGCGCCGCCGGGTACCGCTCCCGCAGCTCCGCCAGCTGCTCCTGCAGCCGCTCCCTCTCCTCCCCAGCCAGGCTGGGCCCCTGCTTGTCCAGGAAAGCCTGGGCTGCCTGCGTGGCCAGGATGATGTCCTGCTGCTGGGACAGCAGCTCCTGGTGCTGCGCCTGGAAGATGCAGGGATAAAGGTGAGGCTCGGCGCTGAGGTCCCCAGCAGCCGTGGATGGGACAGCTCTGGAAGGGCTCGAGGCCAGAGTGGAGCAGCCTGGTCTAGTGGGAGGTGGGAGTGGAACAGGATGGTCTTTAAGGTCCTTTCCAAACCAATTATTTTCGTGATTCTGTGACAAAGCACCAGCAGGGTGGGGAAAACTGGGAACGTCCCAGGTTGGGCTAGAGGAGTGCAGCGACCCCTTCTGTGGCCATCATGGGCACCTTCTGAGACCCTGATTACACCTTGTGGTGTAATCACACATCCTGCATCTCCTGCAGGAAGCTGGGCAGGGCCTTTCTGAGCTTCCCATGGAGAATCCCATGTTTCAGACTCATCTAACAGCAGGGACAGGGCAGGAGGCTTTGGGAGGGACAAGGTGTCAGTGCTGACCTTCAGCCTCTCGTACTGCTCGTCCAGGCTCTCAGCAGCACTGTCTGCTCCCACAGTGTGGCCATCAGGGACATCCCCAGTGCTTTTTCCTGCTTGTGTCCCTGTGCCTTGATGGACAGGGTGGGGTCTGTACTCTGGGAGCCCTCCCTTCTGCTCCAGCGATGCCACCCAGCTCAAAAGGGAATCGATCTTATTGCTGTTCTCCTCCAGCTCTTTGGCAGCTTTCACCTGAAAGCACAAAGGCTCCAGATAAGAATGGCCCAGTTCTTGCATGTTCAGCAAACTGCTGCACGGGGGAGGGAGACAAAAATCAGCAGAAGGCAAAAAAAAAACCAAAAAACCCAAGGAGTTTCCCAGCCTCAGCAAATGCTGAGACACCTCCAGACCCTTTGTGGCTCTCTGAAAGGTGCAGAAAAGCTGTGAAAAAACTCAGCCTTGCTGCTACATTGAATTTCTCATCCTCACACAACCCAGGGCCCTCACTCCAAAATGGCTGGGATGTGATTGACAATCCTCATCCATCAGGGGTCACCCCAAAGGCAGAGTAAGGGACCTTTTCCTCCCCCATTCCCTCCACAACCAGCTCATCCCAAAGCATTTCAAGACAGAAATATCTGGGGGAAACCTTGCCCAGGGAATATCCAGGAAGGAACCACAAATTGCTCTGTGCTGCATCACCCAGATGGGCTTCCAGGACCTCACAGTCCTCCTCAAGCAAAGCTGGAGGCTCCACAGCTCCTGGCACGTTACCTTCTCAGTCTGCTGCTGCACTGCAGCACTCACAGCACTCTCCAGCTCCTTCTGGGCCACCTCTGTCCTCTCCTGCAGGGACTGGTACTGCTCCTTGGCACGCTGCAGGTCCTGCTGCAGTGCTGCCAGCTCCCCAGGCTCCAGCTTGGCCTTGTTCTCCTCCAAAAACTGCTCTGTGCTCTTCAGGACACCAGCAAAGGAGGCGGCTCTGCTGTGCATGCTCCTCTGCAGCTCCTGGGTGGATGAAGCCGTGAGGCTCTGGCCACTCCTGAGGTGAAACCTCTCCACCCCTGCCCCCCCAAATTTCAAATATCACCGACCTTTACGTCGCTTTGCCTCTGCTGCAAGGCAGACAGGTCCCCTTCTGCTCTCTGCTGCTCTGCCAGGGTGTTCTCTGCCTGGCCCAGCCAGCGGCTCAGCTCAGCCAGGCTCTGTGCCCGGGCTGCCTGCTGCTCCTGCAGCGTCTGTGGGCACAGCAAAGGGGACAGGGGACAGTCAGTACCAGCCCTGCACCTCCTCTCCTGCTGCTGAAAGGCAAGGTGAGGTTACAGCTTGCAGCTCCTGGAGGGGAGGATGCAGCACAGAAAACTTTGGTGGCTCTCCAGGTGCTCCCTGTCCGGCAGCAGGTGCCACGTCCCTGCTGAGCTGGTGGCACCTCTGTCACCACTGGAGGTTTCTCTCTGAGGAGCCTGCAAGATGGAGCTGCACTGCTCTCCCAGGAAAACTCAGCCAAGAGTTTCTGTGCCTTTTCCATTCCACCTTACAGACATTAAAACAGCAGCAGAAACTCACGGAATGAGAGGCAACAACGACCTGGGACAGGCAGCGCCACTGTGGAGCCCCAGACAACCCCAAATAAGGGTTTTTTTTTACTGATTTGGGGCTGGAAAGGGAGCCCTGGAGAGGGAAAGTGTTTCTGTAGCTGATCCAGCTCCTCTTTTTGCTGACAGAGCACAACACAGAAGCGCCTGTTCGAGCAATTGAGCATGATGTGACCTGAGAGTCCCTGTGACACCCCTGTCCCCCTCTGCCAGGGGGGTTAAAAGGTTTTTGAGTTTTTCACTGGGCATTTCAGCAAGGTGATGTACAAACTTGTGCAAAACACTGTGCCTGTTTCTCCCAGTCACAAGATAAAACAACAGAAGCAAATTGAAAGAGCCTTCTTAAGAGCTCTTCAGCTGCAAAGCGAGTTCTTCCTGGGTTAGGATGGGCGCACACTCAATCTGAAAAGGCAAAGCAAACTGGTTAATACACACACACACTCCAGAGAGGACAGGCAAGAGTTACAGAGAGCAATTGTTAATAAAAAAACCACATTAATCCTGTCTTGGATGAGAGGATCCATGCAGCGGTGGGTGCTGCAGCAGTGCAGCAGAGATCTGAGGACTTGTTTTTGTCCTTGCCAGCTGTTTCCCTGGGACAGCAATGCCTGATGTGTGCAGTGCAAATAGGACACTGGGTGTCTGTGGTGGCCCCTCTACACAGGGATTTTGGGGGGGATTACAGGGTTTATTCCACCCAGCCCCAAAAAATTCCGTATCTAGCAGAGAACTGCTACCCAGGCCTCGGCAGGGCTCCGTATTTTGGGAGCAAAAGCAACCTTCTGCCTGGTAGGAAGAAGAAAGACTTTTAGAGGAAGCTCATGATGTGCAGTGAGAACTCCTGAACTGGGAGTGGCATGCAGGGGAAATCCCAAATTGGAGGTGCCTCAGCTGCTGTTCCTGCGGCTGGGAAGCGCTTCGGCGAGCAAAGGAGGAGATGTCTCACAACCTTCACCTGCTCCGTCTGCTCCACTTGCTGGAGACAGAGCTGCAGCACCTCCACCCGCGCTGTCACACGCTCTGACAGGTCCCTGAAGGCTTTCTGCAGCTCATTGAGCAGCCTCAGCAGCTGCCTGCTCTGCTGGGGGGTTAAATCCTGGGCGTGCTCCGAGATGAGGAACTGGATGTCAAAGGCAGTGGCGTCCAGCTCAGCCTTGGTGTCAGCAAGGGGCTCCTTCAGCTCCTGAATGGGAGAGAAAAGCAGCTAAAATGATCCTGCAGCCAGGGCTGTGTTGCACTGCTTCCCTCCTGCTGGTGCCACATGAAATATATTCCAGGAACACCAAACTCTCCCAGAACAGCACTCAGCATGGAGGTGAGAGCATCACCGGGATTTTCCAACTTCCCTCTGCACCAGGTGCTGGAGGCACCTCACCAAGAGGTTTCTTGGATGTGTGTAGGGCTGCACTTGGGTCTGAGGAATGACCCAGACCTGGCCCCAGTGACTCCATGCGCCACCACCAGCTCTCAAAGCCTTCAATCCCCTGATTTCCATGCCAAGATGTCACCACCAAGCTTGGAAATAATCTTTATTGCTAGAAGATGGATGAGGAGACTGGGCTCCTCATACAGGTGATGGAGCAGAGGATCCTGGATGACAGGAATCTCCCCAGGTCACTCAGCCACCACCACACCCCTGCACAGGAGCATGTTCAACAACCAAACCAGGCTGTGCATTATGGAAACAAACGACTTTGGAGAACACCCAACACAGCAGCTCCAGCTGCGGCACGAGCTAAGGCCAAACCCTTGGTAGGCTCTGGGACAGAAGCAGGATTAAAAGCTTCTCCTCTGTGCAGAGGGCAGCAAGTTCATCAGCCTGCAGGATTAGGGGCATTGCCATGGTTACCTTGTAGTGCTGCAGGCAGCGACTCAAGCTGCTGGCATCGCTGGCCTGCTGGAAATCGCTGTCATCCAGAGACTCCGTGGTGCCAGACACCCAGCTCAGCAGCTCCTGCAGCTTGCCCTCAAGAGTCTCGTGATGGGCCAGGATTTTAGCCTTAAAAGCAGAAATTCGTCATTTAAAGGAGGTATTTTAGGAAGTTTGTGGGGCAGCAGGGGGCAGTTGCCAGCTCTACCTTTTCGGCTTCTGCCGCCCCACGAAGGTTTTGCAGCCGGGACTGCAGGACTTCACTCGCAGAGCTCAGAGACTTCTGGAGGTTCTTGGCATCCTTCTCCAAAGCCTTCAGTAACTGCTCAGGGACTTCTTCAGGAGGGTTGGCCACAATCCTCTGCACAGCATCCAGCTCCTGATTCACTGGGAAGCTCAGCTCCTGCAGCTCAGAGCCCAGAGCCTGAGACAAAGACAGCATCGTTACGTCTACGACAGCGTGACCTCACCTCCCTGCTGCCAAAACCCAGCAGGGCTTTTGGAGAGGCAGCTCCAAACACTCAGTCGAGAAAAATTCATCCCACCCTCCAGCCCTGCTCAGCTGCCAGTGCCTCTCCTGCCTTTCTCCAGGCTGTAAAATTCATGTCAGCCAAGCTCAGGCTGTTGTCTGGGCAGGGTGGATGGATCAGGAGGGATGAGGTTTGATATAAAAGCCTGTTAAACCTGAGACAAAACTCCCAGAAGCAGGGAGGGGTGCAAGGCTTGTGCAGGAAGCTGGGGAGAGGGGTAAAAAGCTCTGTCTAACACCAGCCAAGCCTCACCCAGCCTCACTCACCTCTGCTTGCTGCCTCAGGTCCTGCAGGGCTGCCAAATTCTGCTCTGCTGGCTGCACGCGTTTGATTCTCATCTCGATGTCTCGGAGCATGGAGAGATAAGAAATCAGCCTCTGGTCATGCTCCAGACACATCTTCTTGCTGAACTTGATCTGCAGAATCAGACAGGAAATCAAAGCTTCAAACTTAGGCAGAAAAGGAGACAAAGTATTATGTAAAATTATTTTTTTTTTTCTAAAGGAGAAATTTGTTAATAATGTTCCCGCTCATGGACTTGCCACTTGCCAGCCTTATCTACAAGATTTACTACAGGAGAAATAAAACACACGGTTCTTTTTCCAACATAAGCTTATAAATGGCAAGAGATCTCTTGGAGCTGCAGCAAAAGTGCCAAAAAAAGAGAATTCCACTTGTTAGTCATTTAGCAGTAATGCTCCAGCAAAAGGAGCCACAACTCAGCCCTGAGTGTTTCCAGTTGTACATCACCAGCTCCTTTGCCAAACCCACTGCAGCTGATACTGCAACATCCACTCCTCATGCTTCAGCTGCCCTCTGTGCCGAGGATCTCAGACAGATTTAGCACCAAACATCCACAAAGAGCTCAGAAAAACTGCCTAAATAGCAAAAATATTCACTGACCTGGGCTGGCCTCGTGGACTCCCTCGAGGTCTCCAGCAGCTCCCCCTCCACGATCACAGGTAAGAGCAAACCCCGATCACCTGGACCTGGCTGCTTGCTCCTCTCCTGGGGGGGTTCTTCTTGGCATTTTGGGGGAGCAGGGGCACCTCCTTGCTCTGCTCTGAGCTCAGCTCTTTGCTCATGCTGCTTCTCCTCTCCAAGTTCTGCGGAGGTTTCCTGAATTTCTGCGGGTTCCTCTCTGATAATTAAGTCAAGGGGCAGCTCCTGTGCCACGGGGGCTGTGCTGGGCACATCCTGGGTGGTTTCCACCCTGATGTCTTCCTGAGCCATCCTTTCCTCCAGACTCAGGGCCACCAAGGAATCCTGACCATCCTTGGTCCCAGCTTTCACCACCTCTCGAGCTTCCCCGTGCTTGGGGGGCACAGGGAACACCTGATCCTCTCTGGAGGTTTCTCTGTCCTTCCCAGGAATTGTTTTCTTTCCTCTTCCACCCTTGTGCTTGGCTGTGTCTTGTGCCAGCCCAGCAGCAGCCTCAGTGCTGGATTCATGTTTTGGCTCCCTGGAGACAAAGTGCTCCTCCTCACCCTTTTTCCTTGGAATTTCATGGGAAACCAGAGAAGGAAGGAGCTGCTTCTCTGCAGGTTTCTCTGGCTGAGCGCTGTCTCCTGGAATGCTGCCCTGCTTTGCTTTCTTTTTCTTGCTTTTCTTTTTCTGGGTAGGTTTCAGCTCAGTTTCACTTGTTTTTTCCTGATCAATGGCACCTTCTGTGCCAGAGGTTTCTCTTTCTGTGTGTTTCACAGCTTTTTCCCCTGCAAGCTCATCTCCCACAGGAACTCCAACCTCAGGGGGCTCTCCCATCCCTCCCTTCCCTGGGCCCACACTGACAGATTCCCTCGGGGCTGCTGGTGTCTCCTGGACCACTCTGGTCACTCTCTCTCCTTGCCCAGAAGTCACCACTGCACCTTCTCCACCTGCCACAACTCCCTCTGCACTTACAGACTCTCTCCTCCTCCTCCTCTCCTCAGCATCCTCCTCCTTGTAAAGCACCTCTGTGCCCAAGAACAGCTGCTCCTTCTCCAAGCCCAGTCTCTCTATTTTCTCTGTCCCTCCATCCACTTCTTCCCTCGTTTCCCTGCCCTGGGCTGCTCTCACCTGGGAGCTGCCTTTTGGGATCCCTTTTTCCACAGCCCCTGCCACCACTGCCTCTTCAGGGAGAGACACTGTCCCCAGCACTGAGGGGTGCTCTGGGGTCACCTCAGCCTTTGCCTGGGGGTGATGATGATGATGATGTTCCTCTTGGGGATGGACAGCACCCTCTGAAGCTTCCTGGGGTTTTAATTTCCTTTCAGTCCGTGCTTTGGGGGATTTCTCAGCGGCAGCAGCTGCACTCTGAGCTGTGTCAACAGCTTCAGCTTGAGCTTTGGGCTCAGCACCATCAGACCTGGCAGATCTGGCAGGGAGGATGACACCCTCTTTTGGAGATAGTTTTTCCATTTTTTCCCGCAAAAGTTGCACTTTTTCTACTTTGAAGACCTCAGAACCAACTTTCTCTTCGGATATTTGCACATCCCGAAGACCAGCAGCTAATTTTTGGCTAATCAGTCCTTTTCCAACAGCTTCCTTCACAGTCAATCTTTTCCCACCAGGGGCATCAACAATTCCCCCAGCCCTGATCTGGTTGGTGGCGATGACTTTGGCCATGGCCTCATCCAGCATCCCCTGCTCCACAGCTGCCCTCAGGGACAGCCTCTGGCTGACAGTGCCCTCCACCACCCCTCCAGAGTCTGCCTGTGCCTGCAGCAGCCTCAGGGTGGGCAGGGGGTCCACCTTCCCCAGCCTCACTGCCTCAGCACATGGCAGCTTGGCCCCTGTCACCTCATCCCTGACTGCCTGGAAGGGATGGACCTCCAGGTACCTCTGGCCGGATTCAATATCGATTTTACACTTCTTCAGGAACTCTGAGTAGGGAACAATCTTGCAGGTCTCGGGGTCTACAATTCCTTCTGTCATTTCTGAAGATGACAGGACTTTCTGCACCACCTGCTGGGGCACCAAGCCCTCCTGCACTGCCTGGCTCAGTGCCAGTCGCTGGCCAGAAGCTGGATCGAGAACGGTTCCGCTCTCAGCCTGGATTTCCTGCACTTTCCTCTGGAATTCTGGGCTAACGAGCCCCAGCGACACTGCCTGGGGCAAGGTCAGCTTCTCCTTTGTGGCTGGATGGACAAAGTCCTGCAGGACCACACTTTCAGCTTTCCTGAGCTCCTTGCACAGATCTGGATTGATCAAACCGTGTTTCATGGCGTTGTCCACTGAAAGCCTCATCCCGGACACGTGATGGATGATTCCTCCCTCAGCAACCTGCTTGGTCAAGAGCTGAAAAGCTTTTTCCTTCTCCAGGAGCCCCTTTTCAACAGACTCTGCCACAGTCAGAGGCCGTTTGCTTTCAGGATCCACAATCCCACTGGTCTCAGCCTGTAAATTAATGAGTTTCTGCCTGGTGACCTCATCAGTGCCTTTCCCCTTGGAAGCCTTCTCCAGCTTCACCAGCTCTGTCTGACTGGTTGGCTCTATGAGGCCCAGGTTTGAAGCCAAAGTCACTGACACTTTTTTGCCACGTTTCAAGTCAACAATCCCCCCTGTAACCACCTGCCCTTCCAAGATCCTCATCGCTGTCTCCTTGTCCAGAAGGCCAACAGCAGCAGCATCCTTGATGGAGTAGACAAAGTTGTTGCCTGGGTCAAGGACACCACTTATGGCTCTGTCAGACGTGAGGACCTTCTGGAGCAGCTTCTCATCCATCAGACCTTCTTCAATCACGTCCTCAGTGGTCAAGGGCTCACACACCTGAGAGTCAAAGAAGCCACTGAACATCTTCATCCTCTCCATGAGTTTCACAGCTGTGTGGCCAGACACCACCCCAGAGGCCACTGCCTCGTCCAGCAGCAGGGTCCTGCCTGTCTGCTCGTGGGTGATGCCACCCTTTTGGAGCTGCATCAGGAGCTTTTCCAAAGTGTCCTCTGCTTCCTCAGGGGCTGGCAGGGATGGTTCCTCATGTTCCTCCATGTCCTCATCACCCAACACTTCTTCCTGCTCTCCTTCTTCCACTTTCAACACAGTTTCCACGTCCTTGCTTTGTGTCTCTGCTGGTGCTGCCTCCCCACGTGCAGGGAGCTCAACCTCCTCTCCTCCCAGCAAACCATTTTCAACTGCTCCCTCCTTTAGCAAATGAACCTCTCTCACATCTTCTGCCTCTCCTTCAGGTTCCCTCACACCCTGAGACCTCTCTGCCACGATTTTCAGTCTGTCTCTACTTTCTGGAGCACCCATTTTTATGCAGATTTCACTTTTCACAACCACTGCCCCACTTTCCAATGCCCTCTTCTGATATTCAGGACCTTCCACTCCATCTGCTGCAGGAGGCTTGGACTCTTCTTCTGCCTCAATCATCATTTCCTCTGTTTCTCTGATTAATCCACTACCCAGGTCACTGGGAGGCTCTGGCATCAATAATTTTACCTCATGTTTATCCTTGGTTGTAAAAGTGACCTGTTCTTTTCCAAATTCAGCATCAGTTTCACTCCTCATGGTCTCCAGTTCAGTGGAAATCTGCTCCTGCTCTTCCACATGCAGGAAATCCTCTGCATCCTCCAAGGGGAGACTTTCAGGTCCCACCACCACCTCCCCATTCTCCAAAGCAGCTCTGGGTGGTAGGATCTTATCACTTTCATCTTTTGAAGGAGCAAATTGAAGCTGAAGCTGCTGCAAAGCCAAACCATTGCAAGGTTCACTTTCAAGAGCTGCCTCTGTCTCCTCAAAGCCTTCCAACACCTGTGCACGGGATCCGTTTTCTTGGCTTTGGATGAGAGCTTTAGTGACATTGTTCAACTCTGCATCCACTAACAGCACCTTGTGGCCATCGTGGATGTTGATGTAGCTGTGGGTCATCAAGTGGAACATCAGCCTTTCATCATCACCCCCTAGCACAGGCTCCTCCTGACCTGTGGGGCTCCTTCCAGGGGAGCTCCTGCTTGGAGATCCAGGGAGCTGCACGCTGGCCAGGACATCAGGCATGGCTGTTGATTCCAGCTTCTTCACCACCTCTCTCTCCAGGATGCCCTGCTCCACTGCCTTCTGCCAGGACACCACCTCTGTGTTTCCTGGGATAAAAACAGCCTGAAGGAGCTGCCTCTTGCTGAGAGCCTCCTCAATCAGCTCCGGGGAGAGGATCCCCTGCTCCAAAGCGTCTGCAACAGGGATGATCTCCCCTGTCTCTGGCCACAGCAGCCCCATGAAGGACCACAGGGATTCCAGGACCAGCAGTGCCATCTTTGGAGCTACCAAACCCTTCCTGAGGGCTTCATCCATGGTCAGCCTCTCCCCCGTGGTGGTGTCCACGATCCCACCCGTCTGGAGCTGCCGGAGCAGAAGCGTGCAGGCCAAATCCTGGTCAACCAAATTATGCCTGACAGCCTCCCCCAAGGTCAGCCTGTGTCCTGTCCTGGGGTCAACAATGCCACCAGCAAAAAGGTGAGCTTCCAGCAACCTGACGGTCACCTGCCTGTCTATCAGCCCCTCCTGGACTGCACGGAAGATGCTGACCTCCCTGCCTGACCTCAAGCTCACCATCCCACCTGCCAGCTGCCTGACTGGGAGCAGCCTCAGCCCGGTCTCTTGGTGGATGATGCACCTGTCCAGGAGCTCAGGCAGACTGATCTTCTCAGCAGTGTTGGGGTCAATCAAGTCCTTGCCACCTTCCAGGTGAGACAGGAGCCTGGAGTGAAGTTGGGGGGGAAGGAGACTTTCTTGCACTGCTGTCTCCATGCTGATTCTGCCCTGCTGGAATTTAAAGCCCCCAGTGATGAGCTCAACCTCAAGAATCTTCAGCCCAATGCTCTCACTGATCCTCCCCTCTTCTATGGCAGCAACGACGGGGAGGAGCTGCCTCCCTTCACATCTGACTTCTTTCACCTGCTGGAGAGCATCCTTCAATTCCTGCAGCACCTGGAATGCCCTGAGATCAATGATGTTTCTTGCCAGAGCTTTCTCCAAGGAGAGTTTCTCACTGGTCTCTGGGACAACTAAGTCAGAGGAGATCACCTGGGCCTCCAGGAGGACCAGGCCTGTGTCCTGATCTATAAGACCTCTCTGCATGGCACCAAAGACAGGGAATATTTCTACTGTGCCAAGATCGATCACTCCTGCCACGGCTCCGCTGCCCTGGAACAGAAAGAGAAGGAAAAGAATTAAACCAAAATCCAGCATTTCCAGCACTCATTGCATGAGTTTTAGGGAGGCCTCAGTTAAAAAAAAAAAAAACAAACAAAAACAACAAAACAAAACAAACTAAAAATCCCCAAACAGGCTAGAAAGTCCTAAAGTGTTTGAAATCTAGTCCATCACCAGGGCAGCACCAAGATGCTTCCAATATCCACCAGCAGTAATGCAGCAAAGCAGCAAGCACCAAAACTCAGACTCATTCCTAATGCTCCACAGAAAAGAGGGCAGGAAACCAACAAGCACAACAAAGCCCTTCAACAACTCCAGCTTTAAAAAGTAAAGACAACACAAATCCCACTGTGCACTCACGGGGAAGAAAACCCCCCAAAACCACCCACTTTGGGGTAAAGAGGAACCTTCCCCAGCACAGCCTCCATGCTGATTCCTGCCATGCTGAAAATCCTGCACTTCCCAAGCAAATCCCAAGTGCCAGGATGGGTGGGGAGCACCACAGAGCCCTGTGCCATGGAGCAGCTCCCAGCCATGCAGCAGGGCAGGAGCAGGACAGCTCCCCAGGCATGACCATGGCCCTGCTCTGCCCACTCCAGCACCTCCAAGATGCTCCTCAGACAGGGCCAGGGGAGAAATGGAACAAGCTGGAGGTTCCAGCATGAGAACAGTGACAGACCAACTACTGTGGTGCTTTTTGGAGGGGCTTTTCTTGCTGCTATCCCCACAGGGAGGGTGATAATTTAGGTGATAAAGTGTCTTTGCTCAAAGGCTCTTTGGACGTTTGGGTTTCTCCCAGTGCCTTTGGCTGGGTATAAGGCTGGCCCAAGCACTCCAAGATTTTTGTGGGGATAACAAGGAGGGAACCAGGACCATGGAATGAATTCCTTTTGCATCCCAACACCCTGCTGTGGGGACAGGAAGAACCTTCTGGGACAAGCTAAGCTCTCCATGACCATCACCAGACCCTGACGTGCATACTCAGAGATGAACAAGCCTTGGAAAGACAGAAAAGAGGGAAAGGGTGGGGAAACAAAAGAGAAAGATAAAAAAAGGAAATGGATGGGAGGGAGGGGAGTAAAAGGCTTTTACTTACCGACTTGCAGGGTGTGCCTTGAGCAGTTAAAGACAGAGCCTTATGGAGCAGTTCAGCCGTATCACACACAGTGTAAAGCTTGGGGTTAGCGTCCAGCATGCGACTGTTTTGTTTTGCAAAAAGAACCCCACACACAGGTCCGTCCTCTTTCCCTTTTGTGTGTTTTGTTTGTTTAAATCCCAGGGGGGTTAGTTAAACTTGTAAGCAAGGATGTCAGTTAATCTTAAAAACAGTTGACATGAAACACAAACCATACAGGGACACATCATGCTCAATTTAGCGCGTTCTGCTTCGCTTTTTTTTTGGTCTTTTGTAACTTCTTTCTGACAGTTGGATGTTTCCAGCAAGCAAATGTTAAAGAGTTCTTCATGCTCCCTCTACAGTGAAGCAGCAGCTCCGCAGCAGAGCCGCAGGGATGGTTCTGCAGATGGGGATTTAAGGTGAGGCCCCACTGCCATCTCTTGTTTTGTTGTGTGGGCTTCACTGAGTCTGTGAGTGAAAACTGTTCCAGCCCCAAAGCAGCCTCGTGCTGTACCTAAACAGCTTGACAAGCCCTGGAGAAGAGTTTTGCTTTAAAATAATTTTCCTGACCAAAAGGGAGGAAAAGGGAAAAGAAAAAAAGCATCCATTCCACAGGGAGGCTGCACCAAATCTGTGACAGTTTAACAAAATGATTTGTTCACCTTTCTGCTGCCAGCACAAGGGCTAAAGGGCTTGCAATAAAATAAATAATTTCCTGCTCTGAAACACCTGGAATGTGCTGCAAAGTCCAGTTTGGAGCAAAACACTGCGTGTTTAGGTGAAAGCTGGACAGGCAGATCTCAAAAAAAAGCAGCTCTGCCACCTTCTCCCCTTGAGTGGCTTGAACAGGGCTTCACTCACAGACCTAAGAGCCAAAACCTGCGTCTCACAGCCAGATGTGAGCGGGCTGTTGCTTCAGGGTACAGGGAGCCAGCAAGCAAACACACAAAAATATCCATTGACACATGAATATACACTTAGAGAACACGCACACGTAAATCTGCGAATGACAGCTGTAACAGAGGCAATAAGGATGCGCTTCCAGCCCTCCCTACAAGGATGGGACCTGGTGGATGTGAACAGGGAACAGGTTCTGAAGGTCCCCCAGGTCAGCTGAGGGGCTGGATAATGTAATTAATTGCCTTTCCCAAGGAAGAGCTGCTTGGTTCAGCCACTGCTGAGAAAAACCCTCAGCCAGACCCTGAGGCCACATGAGTCCCACCTTCCTGCACCCTGGCAGCCTGTGGGGCTGAGCCCTCTGAGCTTCCAGCCCTCAGAGGACACAGATTTCCTCAAGGGGACATTTCCAGGGCAGAATTCCACCTGCCACCCTCGCTCACCAAGCACGACCGAGCCTCGTGCAGAGGGCAGAGCCCTGATGGCAACCAAAGGACAACTCTCCCACGGAGCTGGAAGGCAGCAGGAAAACAGCTCCTGCTTGGCCTCCAGGCACCACCAGATGCTTTTTGGGTGACCATGAATAGGAGAGAAGGGAGGGCAACCACGTGCAAGAGGCTGTGAGTGGCCAGTGGCCAGGAGACACACGACAAAATGGAACCTTTTCCACAGCCTGAGGAGGGCAGGTGAGGAGGGAACAGGGCTGAGCAGGCAGCACTACCTTGTGCTCTGTCTCCTGAGCCAGCTGGCTCTGCAGCTGCTGGAGCTGCTCCGTGGAGTTGCTGCAGAGAGCCTGGTAGGTTTCCTTGAGAGCACCAATCTGAGCAGAAATCTGGTCCTTTTCTGGTTGGGAAAGCCTGAAAGGGGAAGGGGGAATATCTCAGGATACTGTCCAAACCAGCTCCACAGAATACCACATCCTTCCAAGCACAGGAAAAAGCCAAATCCACCATGAGTCCTTTCCTCTCCCTGCCCTGCTCAGCTGAAACCTGCCAGGATAACTGAGCAAAGGCTGGCCTGCATTGTAACAATCAAATCCCCAAATATATGGGGCTGCACCTCAACTAAAGAGGATTAATATTGTCCTACAGCACAAATGGGTTGCACATTTCACAGATCTCATTGCAGACAATAAAGAAGACAACTGTTGGGTGCAGCTCGTTGTTTTTAACTGGAGTCAGGCACTGGATCCCACGGATCCACCAGCTCTAAGGAATCTCATTTCCAGCCCCTGTTCTCTCCCTGGTCACACTCACTTGTGGCTGTGTTTTGCCAGGAAGATTTGGGAAGTTTTGATGGCCTCAGACACCTGCTCCTTCTTCGCAGTCAGCTCCTCGTTCAGGGCCTGGGAAAAAAAATAAAAAAGAAAGCAAGCAGCTTAATGCAGCTGTGAAAAAAAAATTTTGATGGCCTCAGACACCTGCTCCTTCTTCGCAGTCAGCTCATTCAGGGCCTGGGGAAAAAAAAAATAAAAAAGAAAGCAAGCAGCTTAATGCAGCTGTGAAAAAAAAAGAGCAGAAGTCAAACCTCAGGGTCTGGTGCCAGCCCTGCTTTACCTGCTGCTCTGAGATGGATTTCTCAAGGTCTCCCAGCTCTCTGCTCCCAGCAGCAGCTGCCCTGCCCTGCACACTCTGCTTCAAGCCCAGGGCCCAGCCCAGGAGCTCCTTCACCTTGTCCACGTGCTCCTGCTTCTCCTCCTCCACCACTTTCTGCAAACAGAGGGAGAAGGAGGAAGACAACCGCGTCAGAAGGGATCTCCAAAGGGAGAGCAGCGCCCAGGACGTGCCCTCAGCACGGAGCAGCATCCTCGGGGACGGAGGGGACGTGGGGACAGGGCCAGGTGTGTCCCACCCCCTCACCTCCTCCTCCTCCAGCCGCCGCAGCGCGTCGCTGATGTACTTCACATGCTGGGTGGTCAGAGTCACCAGGGCTGTGTAGCGAGTCCTCAAATCCATGAACTGCCAAGGGGGAAAACAAGAGGGGGAAAAAAAGAGGTCCCTCAGTCCTGCTGGCAGATCCAGACTGTCACCCTGCACAGTACATGACATGGATGAGGCACCTCTGGCTCGGGAACCCCCCACAAGGCAGCTGGCAGAGCCGGGATGGCACCAATGGAAGGCAGCAAGTCTGCTGGGGAGGGTGGTGGCCACACAAGGCATGCTGCACGACACCGGGGCGGATGCTCCACTCTTACAGAGGGCTACCAGGACCTTTCATATCCACACAGAGCAGACAGGACCTCGGGTCCCTAAAAAGGTTCTCATCCCCAAAGATGCACACACAGCAACACTGCATGGTGCTCTGGTTATTTACCTCGCAAGGCTGAAGGGCTGAGCCGACCCTGCTGGATTTGACCCAGGGGTTCCCAGGAGTCAAGGTATGGCATACCTGGTGCTTAGGGCACTAAGCCATCCTCTCTGGCTATTGGAAAAAACAGCGAGGGTGGAAACTTTATTCATACAAGAGAGTTCAGCAGGAAGGAGCTCATTTCACAGAGGCTGCTGGGTGGTTTTGCTGGGCGTGGAAGAACCCCCTGAAATTTCCCCCTGCTGAGCTGAGGTGGGTTCCTACCTCCTGGGTGATGGCATCTGAGGAGGAGAGCATCCGCCGGCGCTTCATGGGCGACTTCTGCTGCGACTCCACAAAGGCCCTGTAGGTCATCAGCTGCAGCTCATAGTCCTGGAAAGGTGGGGAGACGTGGGGCTTGTGAGATCTGCAAGCTCTGCCAGGGCTGCTCCTGCCCTGCCCAGCCCAACCAGGAGCTGTACCTTGACGGCAGCCGAGTACTGCTGGGAGAATTTCTGACACTGGTCCAGCTTGGCTTGGTTTTTCTCAATTTCTGCAGCCAAAGCCTTCAAGGGAATTCAAAGTAAAAATGGTTGTCAGGACAGGTTGGCTGAGTTGTTGCCCAGAGAAGCTGTGGATGCCCCAACCCTGGAAGTGTTCAAGGCCAGGGTGGATGGGGCTTGGAGCAACCTAGTCTAGTGTAAGTTGTCCCTGCCCGTGGCAGGAGGATGGAAACAAGACAATCTTGGAGATCCCTTCCAACCCAACGTTTCTGGGATTCTGTGACAGCAGCCATGGGACGTGAGCAAAATTCTGGCCCACATCCCTGCACTTTTGGGTAAAATCTCCCAATTTTTCTCGCAAGACCTCATCTGCACCTCGAGCCAGGCAGAGTTCCTCCACTTCCCAGACACCCAGCTCAGGCCTGCAGCCTCTCCCATGCTGCTTTTCACATTTGCAAGCTCAGAGATGAAAAGAAGTGACACGGCCATGGCAGCAAGGAGACACCACGAGGTCGTGCCTCACCGTTTGCTGGCTGAGCTGCTCCGACAGCACCCGGCTGTCCTCAGCCTGGCCAGGCTTCATCAGCTCCTGCTGGGCTGTGATCTCCTCAATCCACTGGATCAGGGCGCTGTGGCACTGCCGGTAATCGCTCAGCACCTCCTGGATGCTCTCCAGCTCCGTGTGGCTGAGGGAAAACCACAACAGGTAAGAGGAGGTGGGGGGTGAAATGCCACCAGCAGGAATGCCAGGCAGAATAATTTCACCTCCACCAAGCCTGACCCGAGGTCTGGGCTGAAGGATGAGGGTAAATGTGGGAGAGGAGGCAGGAGGGCTCTCACCGGGTCTCGATCTGGGCGCAGACTCGCTGCCAGCGATCCCACAGCTGGCTCCCCTTCTCCTGGAAGCGCTCCAGGTCGATGCTGCGCTCCTGCCTCAGCCTGAAGAGCTGCTCCCCCACCTCCTTCGCCTTCACCATCTCCTCCTCCAGCGTGGAGAACACGGAGCCCTTGTCCTTCACCTCCCCCAGCCACTGCTGCAAAAGGAGACAGCACCGGGTCAGTGTCACTGAAGGCAGAAGGGACCAAGCCAGAGATGTCCTCCCAGCCAGAGGTGACACAGCTGGGAAGGGGTTAATGGGTTTGTTTTCCCACTCTTCTTAGCCTGCAAAGAACTGGGAGGTGTAGAATGAAGGGGAACATGCTCCCAGGTCAGACTGGTGCAGGCCCTGTCCCACAGCAGCAGACAGAGCACAAAGCCACAGCACCTCCTCTACACCCACAAAGCAATCAGGGCTCTCACATCAGCAGCACAAAACCCTCTGAAAATGCATCAAGGCAAGAAAAATGCCCCACAGTCCAAATCCAACAGAAAAAAAGGGGAAAATGCTGCTTGACAAGCCAACAGCACCAACCTGCAAGGTTGTCCTGTGGGTCTGAATGGCCGCCAGGTCAGCAGGAACAGCCTCCTCCTGGCTCAGCTTCACCTCGTAGCCTTTGACCAGGGATTCTGCTCCTTGGGTGCTGCGGATGATGATGTCAACCGTCTTCAACCTGGCAAATCAAACAGAACACAATGACATCCCAGACCTGGTGCAGATCTGGAGGCTGCACCACCCGCTGCAGGGGGATGGATTCAGTTACATCCACCACGAGGTGTGCTGGAGGGACAGAAGAAGGCCTTTAGTGAACTGGGAACACTCCAAAGGGTGTTTGGGAACAGAGGCACATCCCAACTCACTTTTCCAGGTAGATGGAAGACAGCCCATGTGTCTGCTCCATCTTGTTCACCACCAAGTCCAGCTCTGAACGCAGGAGGGGCGTGCTGGGCCCGGCAGGAGCTTTGTCCAGGAAGCTGTAGCACCTCTCGGACACAACCCGCAGCTCCGACTGCAGCTGCTGCAGATCCTCCTGCGTGCGCTGCAGAGGGAGGGAGACAACATGAAAGCAGAGCCCAGACAGGCAGGGAAAAAGGCAGGATTGCCCTTGGCAAAGCAGCTGGTAGGAAACGAAGCAGGCAGCCCACCTGCTGAGGCTCCCCGCCGCCTTGCACACAGCGAGACTCCCTCAAACCCCGCACCCTTCACCCACGCAGAGGAGCTGCAGCTATCCTTGGCTCTGGCTCCATCTCAGCCCTCCCCTGCCCAGCTGCCAGCAGCAGGCCTGACCTCCTGCTCTGCGACACGGAGGGCGTTCTCCTGGATGGTGTCACCGTCTGCCCGGGCGCTGCTCGGGGACTGGATGCGGCTCACGAGCCGCTGCTCGCACTCCTCCAGCCGCAGGCGGATGTTCTTCAGCTCGGACAGGTACGTCCTGGCAACGGTCTCATCCTTGTCCTCTGCAAGCAGACACACACAGAAGATCAGCTCAAGCACCACTGGCCAGTATCTGTCCCAAGCAGGACCTGCTGGAATCGCTGGAGCCGAGCGCTGATGCCAGGATCTCTGCTCAGATGGAAAACACCTCAATTAAATCATTAAATCATCGGATCATCTCCTTCTGGAAATGAGTCCAGCCACAGGGAACCTCACTGGAGTCCTGGTGGGACTCATGGTGTCACAAGTGCCACCACCACCACGTGTATTTTCCCAAAGACTAACTGCAGGAAGAGCTCGTTGCTTGGAATGCATCCCCATTGCCAACACTACAAGGGGAAGAGGACTCAGCAGCTCAGCTGAAGCTGCAAAGCCAAAGCCTCTCTGCAGGAATAGTGCTGGACAAAGGCCGAACACTTGGATGGATAGATGGAGAAACAAGGAGAGCAGCTGCTCACACCATCAACCAGCTAGCTCAGGAAAAGAAGAACACGAAGCCGTCCCATAAATCCTTTGTTTATGAGTTCCCACAGCTCCTGGTTAAACCATCAGGCCCTTTGAAGCTCACCGTTCTCCATGGACTCCAGCAGCTGCCGGATGTGTTCCTTGGAAGACTCCACTTCCTCCTCCAGGCGCAGCCGGTCCGACACGGAGAACAGCTCTGAGTCGCGGCTGTCCTGCAGGAAATCCTCGTAGTGGGCCTGCAGGCTCTTCAGGGCTTGCTGACACTCCCCTTGAGCCAAGGATCTCAGCTGTGAGTGGAGAAAGAGGCACATCCAAACATCAGGAACAACCACCTGCACCGCCTTCATCTGCCCAAGGAGTATTTACAGAGGGGGAGAGGTAAATCCTCTGTATCAGACCCATGCCTCCCTCCAGCTGTGCTTATTGCCTAATGAAATGCTCAATCCACAACCTCTCAGCAGCAGAAAACTCCTGATGCTCTTTTCATTGGGAAATGCTGCAATCCTTTTGCACAGCACCCCCAAACTCAGGTTTTCAAGGTGTGAATTGTTCCCCTTTTTCCCACAGCTGTAAACTGCGACCCTTTTCAAGGTGTGCACTGTCCCAGATGTAAAGACCCTTGATTTCCCTGGTTTCCCCCTCTCTTTGGCCACACAGAGAAGCCTGGAGAGCAGCACAACCCCAGAACCAGGCAGGGAAGTTCCTGTGTACCTTTTCCATGCTGAAGCTCTGCACCAGGGCTATGTCCTTCCTCAGGTAGTTCCAGGAGATGAGGCTCTTTGTGTTCATGTGGAGCTGGTGCCAGAGAGCCATCACTTTCTGGTACAGCTGCTCCACCCTGCAAGGGGAAAGGAGCAGATCCATCAGGCCTGGATCTTCCCAGCAAACCCAGCCCTGACCCTGTTAATCCTCCAGCCATCACTGGCAGACAGGAGCCCGCCAGTCCAGTGACCCCAGTCTGGCACCACGCAGGGAGTGGTGCTCCTGCTGTTCAGTGCCAGAGATCCTTGGGGGGATCCCTCCTCCCAAACTGTCATTTTTTCATTTTGCAAGCCACTGCAGCAGTCTCTGCAATGGAGTTTGCAGCTGTGGAACCATGAGGGATTCCTTTCCACACCACAAACCACTTCCACACCTCCATCCCCACTCTCTTCCCATTCCCACCCCAAATCTGTCCCCTCCCATGCCGCCATCCCATCCCTCTGTGACTGCCACCAAGTTACCTGTTGGCCATCTCGATGGCCTCTTTGTTGGGTGGGGGGATCAGGAAGCAGACAGAAGGCACCATGGCCTCATTCCCTGTGGGGCTGATCACCTTCCACTTGGTCCTCTGGGAATTGTCCTCCAGGACACACTCGTCGTTCCTGCAGATGGTGATCTGCAACAGCACCAGCACCAGGAGCCCATCAGAAACCAGCAGCAGGGCTGTCCCTGCCGCCAGCCCCTCTCCTGGGGGTGAGCCAGCTCCCAGGAATACACAGATGGATGTGTTTTAATGGAGCAGCAGCCTGGAATGGTGCCAGGCAGTGCGGCACGCTCGTGCCGGGACAGGAAGGGACAAGGAAGTCACGGGGAGCTGGCTGCCACCCACGGGCTTGTTTGGCTGAGGATGATGAAGCCCATGCTCCTTGGAAGGGGAAAAGACTCCAGCTCCTGCCCAGAATAAATCTGAGACATGGAAATGTGCTCCAGGAAAAACATCCCTGCTGTTTCCCTCCCCCTGTCTTCCCACTCCGCTCCTGCTTTCCATTGACAGATCCTACGGCGCTCATCCTAAACCACCCTGGGTGTCACTCCCTTGTCCCTGCCTTCCCTTCCCGAGTGCCACTGGCACCCTGCCAGCCCTCACCTCGATCTGCCTGTAGTCACAGACAGCCTTGATGGGGATGGTGCTCTTGACAGCGTGCTCAGGGTTCCTGGGCCGCAGCTGGACGATGGTTTTGGACCGTCCCACCAGGCTGGCGACCGAGCTCTTGGACTGGATCAGCTGCTCCTTCTCATCCTGCCAGGGACAAGGAGGATGGATTGCTCAAGGATGGGGAGGGGAGGTCTGTCCTGGGCATCTCAGCGAGCCCCCCACCCCAGTGCTGGCCTGCAAGGGCTGAGCAAACACGTCAGGAGGATCCTGCTGCCCTGGCAGGATGGGAAGAGGGCTCAGGAGATGGGATGGGACATCACTGCTACACCCACTGCCCTGCAAAGCCACATGCACACCTCTGGCCTCTCTGGCTGGTAGGACAAGAAAATGTTTACTTTCAAAAAGGGTAAAAAAAAAAAAAAAGAGAACACAACATCCACCAAAACAAAGTCCCAGGAGCTGTGAGGGGCCGAGAGCAGGACAATGTCCAGCCCAAAGCTGGGGATGTTCAGCTGCCTGGAGGAGAGCCCAGGGAAGCATGCTCCCTTCTCTAAAGCAAAGGATGAAAGGGTCTTTAAACCAATGGCTGGAATGGGGGATGATGAATTACAGGGATCAAACACCTCAGGAGAAGGGCTCAGGGTGGAGCGATTGCACAGGCCTCTGGCTTCGGGGAGAAATCTGCCAGCTGGAGGAAATGGGTTCCTACAAATCCCTGCTGGGTGTGGTGATGGCACCAACCCGGGGGGAATGGTGGCAAAGCTCCCCTGGAACAGCTTCTGGCACTGTGGAGACCTGTGCAGATCACAACACTGGCAGCTCGTGTGATTAGTGACAGCTCAGCCCGTGCTGCCTGTGGCAAAGGTTTCAAAAAAAAAAAAAAGGATCCCAGAAAAGGTTCTCCCTCATGCTTGGTACTCTGGGGTTGGTTAGTGTGCTAAGACAGTGGAGGAGATTTTAATGGTTAAAAAAAATTAAATTAAATAAAATTAAAATAAAAGAATAAATGATTAAATAAACTACCTGTGCCTGTCCCAGGGAGCATGATTGGAAGAAATACAACTTTAACTTATTAGGTAAGAAAGAGTAATATAGCTGAGCTCAGGGCAGCTGCCCCAGTCCTGGCTTTGTGGCCACTCTCTGGCTGCCCAGAACAGCCTCTCCCACCCCAGACAGCACCTGCCAGACTCCTGATGTGCCAGGGCTCCCAAACAGACCCCAGGAGCCAGCCTGGCTGCTCCAGGTCCTGGCAGCACCAGAGACAGGCCAGGACAACCCCGAGACCCTGACAAAGAGGATGGGGGAGCCCCCAGGAGAGAAAACAGTGCTGATGCACCCCTCACCCCCAGTAAGGGCACCCCAGTGCCACTGGGGACACCCTGATGTGCATTTCTTAGTGACAACCTGTCTCCACTCAGTGTCACCTCCTGACCCTGCCACCATAGCTCAGCACTTCAGCCACAGCCCAAATCCTCCCCTGACCCTGGTGTCAAACACCAGCTGATGCTTTGCTCCTCGGGGGTTGTTTTTAGGTTGGTTTTTTTCAGGCCAAATCAGGCAAGAAGGTGACAGTGCCACGGCCCAGGCTCTGCTCTGCTCAGCTAAGCCAGGCCACGTGTTCAGAGATCAGCCCCTGGCACAGCCGGGCTGCCCTGGCTCTCCCCCATCCAGCAGGATGGATTAACACAGGATTTGGGCTGGATAAAGAGCAGGCATTTCTCCACCAGCTCCAAAGCAGAACCAGGAGCATCCTAGAGGCCCTGCCTTTGTCAGCAGGACTCCAGCAGGATCATGGCTGGGGCAGGAGCAGCTCACACATCAGGCTGTGACCTTGCACAGCCAGCACAGGCTGCCTGCTCCTCACCCTGAGGACACACAGAGGTCAGATGGTGCCTCTAAATGACAGTGACCAACTCCAGCCACACCACACAGCTGGGGCCAGCACAGCCTGCAGTTCTTTCAGCAGCTCCAAGGGCAAGCAAACTTCTGCCTGAGGTAGAACACAAACCACATCCCACAAAACTGTGGGGACGAAGAGCCCAGGGGAGCAAAGAGGGGTCCCAGGCAACGCTGCTGGAGCAGGGCAGGGTGGTGGGGTGTCAGAGAACCCACCATGGAGTCCTGCAGGAGGTCCTCCAGCCGTGTCAGGCTCGTGTTGTGGTCGCAGGAATATTTCCTTTTGATGGAGTCCTGCAGGTTCCGCAGGTACGTCTCCGACTCCCGGGCGTCGCTGAAGAACTGCCGAGGCAAAAAGGGTCACAGGGACCTGGGCAAGACCCCTGAGCAGCCTGAAGGCAGGCAAGGAGCACCCCAAAGGCTCAGCCAGCAGCTCCTGACACTGCTCTGGCTTCAGGGCTGCAAGGGCAAGATCATCCCAGGTGCATCATCAGAACTACAGGGAAGTTGATCCATTTTTCCCCTAGAAATGCCCAGGGAGCAGCTAATAGATATTCCAGAGAAAACACAAATCCCTCCTTCCCTCTCCAACAAGGACAACAGCACAGTGAGGAGCTCATGGGGTGGGATTCAATGGATGGGACTGAGGGAATTTGGCCCCAAATACCTGGAAATAGGCAGCGTTCTCCTTCACGTGCTGCTCCACGCACAGGCAGAGCTGCTTGATCCACTGCCACTGGGTATGCACAGCAGCGCTGTAGGCCTGTGGAAAACACAGAAAAGGGCACTGGAAAAGGGCATTCACAGCCAGGAGGGGCACAGCAAGGACACAGGAGCTGGAGGGAGGGACAGAAATGACCAAAATCTGGCTGCAGCCAGGGGGGTTTGGACAGAGAAGATGGCAGACCCTGTCTCAGTGTCCCCACGTCACACACGATGCCAGAGGCAGGAACAGTTTTGCTTTTACCCCATGGAAAAGGTTCCCACAGCCCTTTGCTTCACCACCACAGCGTCCCTGGAAGCCTGGGTGACCCCAGGGCAGCCAAGGCTGTTCTCTGCATCACCTCTCTGTGAGAAAGGCTCACGGTCTCTGTTTGTGTCTTAATTTGAGGTGGCCATTATTTGGGAATGGCCACTTCCCAAAATTAAAAAGCTCTACCACTGCACTGATGTCCTGCCACCATAAAACACTTCATCAGGCACTGTGGGGTGAGGCAGTGAGTCTCCCAGCTCCAGCTGAGGTGATTTGATCCTTGGGAACCCCACAGCTCTGCCAGGCTCCTGCTCACCTCCACGGTTTGCTTGGCCGGGTGGTTCTCCAGGGAGAGCAGCTCAGCCGTGTCCTGGAGGGAACGGAAGATGTCCTGCTTCTCTTCCAGCTCTGCTGTCAGCTCCTGCAGGAGGCAAAGCCCCAATCTCAGCTCTGGCACCTCGCTCAGACCATGTGTCCAACCAAGACAGCGTGGGAGTTCTGAAGGAGGTACTGGCGGATGCCAGGGAATCCAGCACGGCCCCACAGCCCCATTCCCAACAGGAATCTGCCTCCTGTGTGCCAAACAGGCACTGGCAACCTGCCCAGGGACCTCTCCAGCTTCACACAATGATTGTGGAAAGATGTGAATTTGTTTATACTGCTGTAAAGAGGAATCAATTTTCCCCCTTGGCTCAGACTTATCACCCTCGCCCCCACTAGTTCAAGATGACTTGAGCTCCAAAATAATGCTAAAAATACACCTTTTGATGCCTTTTTGATTGCAATTCAACTGAACACACACATTCATTTCACTTTCTGCTCTGGGGAGACCTTCCATCAGCTCTGTTCAGGCACAACAAGCTCAAGGAGCTGGGAAGGAGCATCCAGCCTCAGGATTTCGGGTCTGTTGGGAGCTGAGCGCTCCACAGAGGACCAAAAGCAGCACCTGCCCTCCCTGCACTTACTGAGAAGTAATTCTTCTTGGCTGCAATGTTGGGGTTGTTGTCACTCCAGTCGTAGGCCAGTTCCTCCTCCTCCTTCTCATTCAGCCAGATCAGCTCAGCAGTGGCCCGGGACACGAATCCATGCAAGCTCTGGAGGTGCCTCAGCCTGAAGCTCGAGGTTTCCTGGACACAAAAAATGGTTTATTATTCTTCCTCCCTGCTCTGTAGCTGATGGTTTTTTTCCCTTCTCCCCAGCCTTGGAGCAGGGAGGGCCCCCAAGCTCCCTGGGCAGTGCTGGGAGCCCACTCACCATCAGTTTGCAGTACTGAGTCTCCAGCTTGCCCAGAGTCTCCGTGTAGCTCGCGCGGAAATTCGGGGACATTTTACCCTGCAGGATGAGAAACGCCCCTGTTACCATCACAGCACCAGCATCACCCAGAACCCCACCCCCAAATCTTCCTCCACAGCTCTGCATGAGGAAGAGGAGGGTGGAGAGAGGTTGGCTCAGGGCAGCTCTGCATCAGCTCAGAAGCTCCATCCTTAAAAATCCCCTCTGTCCCAGGAATGTGACCCACAAGAGCTGATCCCAACGCCCTCATTACCCACGTGGGGCCATGCCTGGAGCCCCCCACCATACCTCATACATCCTGGCCTCCTTCACGCTGGAGCCCAGGTCCTCCACGCTGGCGTGGATGTGCCTCTGGGTCTCCAGCTGGGATTCCACGCTTGGCAGGTCAGTGCCCCACTCTGCCCGCTCCAGTCTCATCTGAAACCAAGAGGTTCAGGTCAGCACTGCTCATTCTGCTCTCAAAGGGATGCCAGGAATCCTCCCAGGTCACCCCAGAGGGAACAAACACCCCCCAGTCTTGGTGGAAGATCCTAAGCCAGTGCTCCAACACTGGGTATTTCTGGGACAGCCTCCACAAACTTCCCACCCACATCAGACCAAGTGACTGCATCAGCTCCCAGCTTTGAAAGGCTGATCTGCTCCCAGCTTTGAAAGGCTCCTCTGATCCCCATTGGCCAGCAGGACCACAAGAGAGAAAACCCAGCTGCAGACAGAAGCCTCAGATCTCCAAAAACGACAAACCACCAAAAGCAACAATTCACAGACAAAAAGGCAGGAAAAGGCCTGGGGCAGCTTCCCACGTCAGCCTGAGCACAGGCAGGAGGTTTGGCCCAGCACCCACCTGCATCTCCTCCACCCAGGCCAGCAGCTCGTAGACGAAGCGGAGGCTGCCTTCATCTTCAGAGGAGGAGATGGCCACCAGCTCTGTCCTGGTCATTGGCTTCCTGAACCAGGAGGCCGAGGAGGTGTGGAGCCCCTTGGTCAGGGACTCGCCCTTCAAGTGTGTTGTGCTCAGAGTGGACGTGGGCACCAGCTCCAGGGTGGAGAAGTGGCCCTTCCTGTACAGGTTGGTGCACTCCAGCCTCAGTGTCACCAGCTCGTCCTGCAGCCTCATGATCCTGGGGAAGCAAGCAAGGAGAGGGTAAGTACAGGAGTGTGCCCACTGTTGATGGAGTGACAAAACTAGGCTTTGTCTCCTTAAAAAGGAAATAAGCTCAGAAGTTCCTCTCTTTAATTAGGTGAAAAGACACCTCATAGGACCTGGGGGGATTCACCTCAAACTTAAGGATACCAAATTGGACAGGAGCTAAAAAGTCCGACCTAAGCAATTTACTAGAAAAAGAAGAGAACAAAGAAACTAATTGCTTTTGGGAGGTGTTTTACCAGCAGCAAGACCCTCTTGCACCTGGCTCGGTCTTTTTTCGTAGAGTGTTCTGTTGTTTTGCCTTTTATTAAAACCTTTCTGTTTCCAACACTGCCACAGAAGCCATCCTGCTGATTTGATGCCTTCTAAGGCAGCTGAGCTATCTTGGGTGTGAAATAAACCTCCAAGAGCTTACAAAACCTGGCTCAAGGAGACCATATACCAGGTAAGCAGGTAAGCAGACGGACAGGTGCTCCCTCCTTGCCCTGCACAGATGTGCAACCCCTGAGGAAGCTTCTCCACGGTCACCTGAACACCAGCTCCTCCAGCTGGTAGTAGTTCTCGTCCCGGAGGATCTGCACGTCCACCTGGAGCTGGCGGATGAGCCCCTCGCTCTCCTGCAGGTACACCACCACGTCGGACTCGTGCTGCACTGGCTGGCCCGACTCCAGGTGAGCAGCATCCTGAGGGGACATGGGACACTCAGGGAAGAGTCCCCTCACAGCAGGAGAGCCCCGCAGCAAGCCAGCTTGGAGACTGGAAACACCTTTGGATCCGCAAGCTCAGTTGGAGCAAAACAGGAATCCATCCTCTCACACCACACCCAGGACAAGCCCTTCAGAAAAACTTCTGGAGGTCAACTGAAAGCTTCCAGGAATAGATGGGATCACCATTTTTAGCTCCCAACCCTTTCAACCAACATCTCTTTCTCCCATAACAATGAAAATCTCTTCAGAAACCTGCTCCCTACCCAGGGTCTGCCACTGAGTCCTTTCTGCCAGATTTTGGGGGTTTTAAGCCTCATTATACAGCAAAAAGTACATAACAAGCTTTTCCAGAAGTGCTGTTCTCCACACCAGCACCTCTGCAGATGTCCAGCTCCACTTACTGTATTCCCAGAGACAAGACCATTCCCCATCCCCTGTCCTCAACGTGATCTGCGGATCACCAAATATCTGCCACCACCCCTACAGCACCTCTGGGACAGGCTCAAGGGCACAAAAGAAAGGAAAACATTCCAGGGGAACCCTTCACCCCAGGCAGAAGAGAGGAGAGGAGATGGCTACAAAACAAGAGTAGGAAAACAACAAAAAAAAAAATCAATAAAATCAGGAGGAGGAAACCCCACTCCCCACTCACAGCCTGTAGCGTGTTCTTCGCCAGGGTGAGCTTCTCTTCACAGCTCAGAGCACCATTCTGGATTTTGTTAGCGATTTGTAGCAGCAATTCCAGCCTGGAATGACAGGGAGGGAGGGGAGACAGGGGTTTTGGATGTCCCTCTGGCCAGAGGAAGGAGCAGGGATGTCCCTGCCAGGGGCACAGCACCCACCTCTCCACCGCCGGCCGCAGGAGCTTCTCACGTTCCAGCATCTCAATGATGAGCTTGCCCCACTCCTCCTCCACATCGTTGGGGTGGTAGCCCTGGGGCAACTTGATGCGTCCAAATTCAATCCAGACCTGGGGGAAACATCAGCAGAATGGCATTTCCCACCTCTGTCTTGAGCTGGCTGGGGATTCCAGTGAGGGAAGAGGGGTTCTGCCTCCGCTCCTGCGGTGTGCTGTTCACTGCCTCGTTTATCCTGAGGGGTATTCCCACCTCTCCACTCCAAAATAAACCTGAACTGAGCACATTTTAGTCTGGCTAAAAAAGCACAGCATTCCCAGCTACCAGCCTCTGGGCAGCCATGATGGTCCTTACCTCTAGCAGTTTGTAGAGCTCCTCTATCTGTCCTTTTTCCTGCTCTTTCGCTGGGATTTCAGTTTCTTTGAAGTGTATGTACTGGTTATAAAGTGCCTGGGGTGAGAAAGGCTCATCAGAACCACCCTGGGGAATGGCACCACCCATCCCTCAGCCCTGGACACAGGACACACTGAGGAGAGACCTTGTCCAGGACTTACCTTTAGCTCTACAGGGTTCTGGGGGAAGGATTTGTCTGACATGAGTATCGTGTGCTGCTTGATCCACGAGATGAGGGACTCCACACGGGTCTGGTACTCCAGCCACCTCGAATCCACCTCCTGTGGGGTGAGAGTGTCTTTGCAAGCACTGCTGGTGGGCAAATCACAGAGGGAACTGAGGTGCCACAAGGGTGGATCATGTGCCAGGGCCTCCCTGCTGTGATGCCATCCCAGGCACAGAGATGAGGAGGATTCTCCTTGCCAGCTGCTCTTTCTAAGCTCAGCTTTTTTCCTGCAGAGCCTGGGCACTGCTGTGGCCTTACACACACCCCAGCAGGTGACAGGGCAGACACCTTAATGGGTTCTTCCTCCCTCTGAGCCTCTTCCCTCTCCTCAGCCCTCTTCCACAGGGAACAGACCCTTTCCCAAACCCTACACACAACCCAAAAGGCTGTCCCAGCCTCCAGGCCCTCAGCAGTGCTTACAATGGCGCTGATCCCTTCTCCTCCCTCGGGGACTTTGGGAAAGGCATCGTAGATTGAAGACACGTAAGTTATCACAGATTTCTCATCTGGAGAGGGAACGTCCACGTCTGGCAGGAAGGAAGCAGAAAGGCAGTGAGGAAAGGGAGTGGGAAGAGAGGCTGGCATCTCCCTGCAGTGGTCTCATGCCCTGGGCACCCACCTTCAGCATCCAGCAGCCGAGTGACACCCAGGCGCTCGGCGATCTCGAAGGCCTGCTCCAGGTTCTCCCGGTTACTCTGGATCTGCACCCTCTCCATGTCCACCAGATCCGGCCTGCGAGACACACCCCAGAGTCACAACCAGCACCAGGTGGCCAGGGCAGAGCATCCTGGGTGGGCACTGCTGCCATGGGTGGCTGCCAGGGCTGGCTCCTGTCCCAGGGTGGTGGCTCTCCAAGGGGACTGGGCTGCAGGACTTCCCTGTCTCATCCCCCTTAGGAAGGGGGTTCAGGCTGCAAAGAAAAACCTCTTGGTCCCAGCTGGGGAAGAAGGAATCAAGGGAGGTTTAATTGCTGCTGGGGAGACCTCCAAGATCCTTGGATAAAAGCATGGATGGAAGTGCTGCTGTTCACAGAGAGCAAAAGGGCAGCACTGCAGCACTCAGGAGTTTTAAAGCTTTTAATTTCTGCCTCTCTCCCCAACCTCATTAAGATTTTTTTTTCCTGCAACCTGATGTATGTTTTGCTCATTCCATGGATTCCCCCCCCCTCCACAGCTACCTGGCAGAAGAGAGAATTCCAGGTAAAAAAAGACATTTCTCCTGCCAGCCTCACCCACATCTCCAAGCACTCCAGCCCATCACTGACCACAGTGGTGGACAGAGACCCCTGGGACATCCTCATCCCTCCTCCCACCATCATGACACTCCCACTGCTGCTCCCTGCCTACCTGTATCTGTGGATGAGGGCGTTGAACATCTTGCCATCGCTCCAGCAGGAGGAGAAGTTGGTGCACTTCAACCCGATGTAACCTGCTGTCACCTTCTGTGTCCACAGCAGGAGCTTCTCCTTGGCTGACATATCCCCCAGCTCCCCACTGATGTAGATGTCAGAGATCTGTAAGGAAGCAGCACAGCCATGGGAGGATGCAGGAGCAGGGAAAGCTCCACCAGGCACATCCAGTTTCTGTGAACTTGCCCCAGACCTGGCTACCAGGAAGGGCAGGAGGCAACTTGTGGTCACCATGGGGAGAGGGGACCCCGTGGCCAAGGAATTTGGGAAGGGGTCACAGGATCTGCATGGTGTGGTTTGGAGACCCAAGCAGGCAGAGCCAGACATTTTCTAACCCCATTTCACAGGGCCACCAGGTGCTGCTTGGCCACACAGCCCAGCCCAGCTGGGACATGAGCTGACAACTCCAAACCCCAGCTCCCAGAGCCGCTCCCTCTGCACCATCCCTGTCCCCACAGACAGGGACACACCTTACTGGAACACAATGTCCTAGAGAGAGGAGGCTCCAGGCAGGTCCCTTCCTGCCTCTCCCTGCTCCAAACACGCCGTGCAACCTCCTGTACCCTCACTGCCCCTGCCCAGCACCCACCACCAGGAGCCCCAGCACCCTCAGACACCTGGGGCTCCTGGAATGGTCTCTGCCACCCAGCAGCACCCAAGGTGGGCAAGGAGAAGGGACCACCACCAGTATCTCTTGTTGGGGCTGCAGGTGTGGCAGGGGAGCTCCACCTGGAGCACCCTGTTGTAAAAAATACCAACTTAAGAAGCAGGAAAACACATGGAGAGGAGGTCTCTCCCTGACCTCCAGCCATGGAGCAGCCCCGCGTTGGGGGGAAAAGGGAAGGATGGGGAGAAGGATGTGACATCCCCCCTCTGCCTGGCTGGTGGCAGGGGGGGCTGGTGGCAGGGGGGGCTGTGACCCAGTTCCCAAGAAAAGACAGCGACAGTCACGGACCCCTCAGACAGGACTGGCTGCGAATCCCAGACTGGCACGTGACACCACGCACGTGTCCCCGCATGCCAGCATATTCCTGATTGGCACGGCTTCCTCCTCACCCTCCCCTCTCCAGCTCCCCAGTTAGTACAATTACCTCCCCTTAATTGAGGGGAGGACAAAGCAGAGGATGGGAGCCACTCGGATTTTCCAGGGTGCCCACAGGCAACGCAGGCTGTTTGCTCCCCGGATTCCTCCTCCGGGCACTGCAGGGAGCAGGTGTGCCAGGACCCAGCCCTACCTACAGCCCTGAAAACACCCAAATCCCTCCTCAAAACACCCTGAGCTGGGTGCTGGCAGCGCTCAGGTCCCGGCTGTCAGCCATCCCTTTGCAGGAAGGAGACAGGAGCTGCGGGATTATCGCCTCTCCCGCCGGCGGGGCGGATGCTGCCGGTGTCATTGGTATGCTGCAGCTCACCTCCCTCTCCAGCCTGATACGCTGCTCATCACACATGAAACTGCTCTTTGTCAGCTGCTGCCACACTGCCGGAGCTGCCTTTAACTCCTCCAGCCCCGGGGCTGGCTCTCCCCAGGGGTGTCGGGAGCGGGCACCTGGCGGCAGAGCTGGGATGGATGGCAGGATGGGCTGGGTGAGCAGCAGGATGCAGGATGGCACCCTCCATGCATGCAGGGAGCAGGGGAGGACCCACAAAGCTCCCTCTGCTTAGAACCCCTTTATTAATTACCTGATGGTGCTTAATTAAGAGCAGAATGAACCTTTCTGTGAACCCACCCACCAGCTCTGCCCCGCTCGGGCTCTCCAGCAGTGCTGCCCATCCAGGAGCACCTCACAGCACCCAGATCTGACAAATCCTTTATTTTTAATCCCTGACACAGCACTGAGGTTCTACAACCACTGGGCCTGTTCCCTGAGAGCATCCTTGAAGGAAACTCTCCTAGAGATGTGCTTACGGAGGTGCAGGGTGCGGCACCAGCTCCACCCTCCTTTCTTCACATGTCTGTGACAGGACAAAGATTTAGGGAGGCACCAGCAAGAAAAGAGAGTGGAAACTCGCAGGACTTGGGGCCAAACCCTACCAGCATCAGTTTTGTGCATCAAGCAACTGGTGGCAGGATGCTGAAGGCCACATGGTGGCTGTGACAGTGGTCCCAACCTGGCAAAGGCATCAGGGCCACAACCCCTTGAACCACACGCTTGTCCTGGGACATTCACAGCTTGACCAGACCCAAGAGCACCTTTGCCCACACTTTCACCCCCAAAAGAGTGACCAGCAAACAGCAACAGGCTCTGAAACACAGCACCATCCCATCCTGTTCCTCCTGGAGACCCCTCAGAGCAGGCAGAGCCCCCACATCTCCACGTTCATCCTGCTGCCATTCATCCTGCACGGGCAGCAGGAAGGGGACACCCCAAATTCACACCCTGAGGGCACGAGTGACACTGGTGACAGCAGCAACCAGCCGCACCCACTGGATCCAGGGGCTGTCACTCCCAGCCTGCCTGTGCCAGGAACAGGGGACAGGACAGCTCAGTCCCCAGGGGATACTTTCCCAGTGGAGATGCTGCAGGGGAAAAGACTTCAGGAGCTTTCTTCCCCAGCATCCTGCCCCCCGTGCTCAGCACAAGGCTGCCCCTCGCCAAAACAACCATGCCCAGGAGCCACCAGGATCTGGGGTCCCCTGAGCCAGGCCCCCCCACCCAGCTCCGGAAAGCTTGTGCACACTCACACACTGACCATTGCTCCGGCTGTCCCCGAGCTCCCCCTCCAAGCCCGGCCCTCCACAGCGAGCCTGAGGCCACCATCAGAGGGTGACACCGTGGTCCCGCCACCTCCTGTGCCCTTGGCCGGCCGGTCGCTGCCGTACCCCGAGGAGCTCCGGGCCGCGCTGCCGCTGAAGGAGGACGGGCTGCGGGAAGCCGGCAGCCCGTGACCATCTCCCTCCCCAGCCCCAGAGGACGACGGCAACCCTGAGCTTCTCCCCACGCCGGGGTTTTCCAGCTGATCCACCATGGGGGACGGCGTGGACAGCTCGGACACGGTGCCCGGCTCTGCTGCGGAGGAGCACGTCCACGCGGCGCTGGAGCTGGGATCATCGCTGCCTCCTTTCCCCCAGGCATCCACGGCGCTGCCGGCCTCCGGCTCCCGGCTGGGCGCTGGATCCTGGCCGGACACGGCGCTGCTCGGGGACAGGAGTCCCCCGGCACGGCCATCGGTCCCGGCGCGCAGCGGCAGCAGCACGGCCCGGCAGCTGCCGCTCCTCTGCAGCTCGACCAGCCGGCTCACCGCCTTCTCGCAGTCCTTCTCGGCCGGGTTCTCCAGCAGGCGGGCGATGACGGTGGTGCCTTCCTCCCGGGATGCTCCCGCCACACCCGGCCGCTGCGGCTCCAGCACCAGGCGCGCTTTCTGCACCTCCCCCTGGAAGCGCTCCTTCACCTGCACGATGATCCCGGGGCGCAGCGCTGCCGGATCGGGGTCCCCGCCTCGGGGCCGGCTGCCGGGGGGCTCCTCTCTTCCCTCCTGCCCAGGGGCTGCCTTCGATTTGGGCGCCTCCTCATCCTCGGCCACCTCCAGCGCCGGGGGCTCCTCCTGCGGGGCTGCCTCCGGCATCGCTCTCCTCTTCCCTCTCCTCCTCCTTTTGAAGCGCACCCTTTTTTTGGGAGACAGCGGCGCCTTCCCCACAGCTTTTTCCTTCTGCTCTTTAACGCAGCCCAGCGAATTCCCCATCTCCTCCCGCTCGGTGCCGGCAGGAAGGCAGCTGAGCGAGTGGCCGGCTCCCGAATAAATCCCAAGCCGGGCTTCATCGGATCAAACGCCCGGCGCGCAGCGCTCCGCCGACTGCCCCTTGTCGCTGTCCCCTCCCGCCAGCCCTGCCGCCACCGCCGCCGCTCCAGACAGCCATCTTACAGCCTGGGCGCTGCGAGAAGACAAATTCAAAGCATCTCACTGCAGTTCAGAAATCACTTGACCTAAAAGCAGAGGGAGCGGGGATTGGCTGCGGCGTCCTTCTCTCCAAATATGAGGTAATTGGAGCACGGCCCTTGCCAACACAAACAGGGAGCAGGAATCAGGCAGCGGAGCGAGGAGGGGGGTGGGAGAGGCTGGGGAAGACGGGGATAAAACACAAAACCTAAGGAAGGTTGGCAAAGGTAGAATAAAGGAAGGGGTGGGAGAGAAATGGGAAGGGGAAAAAAAAAAAAAAAAGCAGGGAGGAGTCAGAGTGACTCTGCATGCTCGCCAGCCGGCTCCGCAGGGCTGTTTCTCTCCAGTTTGGAAGGTTTGCTCCTTAATTCTTCACTCCGGGAGCCCCAAATGCCCAGTGTGCTCACGCTGCTGCCAGGCTCAGCCAGCTTGGGGCACAGAGGTGCCCTGGGGACCCAGCATCGCTCCAGGGAGCCGCGGATGGAGGATCCCAGCAGGAACGGGAGCGTGATGCTGCCCAGCCCAGTCCAGCCCCAGTCCTGCCCCTCTCCTGTGGCTCCCGCCCCAAACGCCTCCCAGGGCAGGGGTTTGAGGAGCATGGAGCACCCCAACTCTGCCTGCCGGCTCAGAGGGAGCAGGGTAGGGTAACATGCACCAAAAGTGGGGCTGAGACAAAAATTGGGAAGTAAGGGGCAGAAAGATATGGGGACTGAGCTCAGCCCCAGGAAGCAGGGAAGCATTCAGTGAGGAAATGCTCAACGAGAAAACACTCAACAGGGAGCAATCCAGAAGATGACTAAGGGAAATCAATGACCACAAGAGCTCCCAGGGCACGGGGAACAACGCCCGGGATACCCTCCTCATCTTCATCACACCGGAGCTGGCAGAGCCTGAGCTCCACACCAGCACCATCCCACCCCAAACCTCTCCTGGGGCTCTCCCTGCCCCCAGGCAGCAGCACTGGGACACTAAGGGAGATTAAGAGGTTCACAATGGAGCTACAACCCCATAAAAAATCCCCTTAGTGCAGCGGGAGCAGGACGCGCAGGCTCGCCCGCCTCCCGTGCCACCCACCCTGTCCCCCAGGCCAGGGTGGCAGTGTCCCCTCCCAGCCAAGCACGGAGGGGACCCAGGACTTCCTCATGTCCCTCTCCTGCAACCAGGAGCTGGGTGACCACAAGGACAGCAGGGACAAGATGCCACAGCCAGGGCCCCACGGAGATGACAGTGACTCATCAGCATCCAGAGCCTGCCCGAGCCTCGTCAGCAGCCTCACACCCAGCTCAGCCCCACGCTGCCCCCAAAGCCTCTCCCTGAGGCACTGCCCATCCTCCAAAAACACCATTTTCCAGTGCAATCTTCCTTAAGAGTCTCAAAGCCAGCACTAGTCCTGTCTGGAAGAGGCCAGCAGGGATAAGGCAGGGAGCTGGGATGCAGCAGATCCCACAGGCTCATGCCCACAGAGCTGATGCCACACGGCCAAGGAGCTGCTGACAGCAGCACTGCCCAGCAAACCCCAAATGCCAACTCACTGATGGCCACATGTCACCCCCTGAAGCCACCAGAGCTACAGCTGGATAAATTGAAGCTACTAAAGACACAAAACTCGCTTTTCCAAGAGCATCTCTAGCACACAATTGCTGGAGACATCCCAGGTCAGGGCACTTCTCCCATCCCTTTGCTGTCACCCAGCTGACACATTCCATGCCAGCGAAAAGTCCTGTGGCTGCAGTGACCACCCAAAGGGCCAGGAGTGCCTTGGGACAACAGCCCCTGGCCCCTTCCAAATTTGCTCTTCTCTTCCAGAGACCCCAGCTGAGCAAACAGGCACGGCCAACAACCCCGGGAGGCCACAGCACACAACCCATCATTAATGATTTCATTATGCAAATGATGAGGGGAGGCTGTTGCTGTCCTCCCAGCGTGGTCTCCATGACACTGCCATGAACCTCCAGACACATCCATGTGCTGACATCACCACGGAAAATGCAGAAAACAAGGATTCCACTGCCCCGGAGAGACAACGCGCTCCCGACGCCCGCCCCGCGTCCTCCGGCAAGAAAATCCCTTCTCCTACCTGGAAGTGGAGGATGATGGTCCAGATGAGCCCCAGGGTGAGCTTGGGGTTGCCATCTGTGATGTCATCATTGCGGATATTCACCAGTTTCACCTGGAAAAAAGGCAAACAGGGTTAAAGTTTCCCATCAGAGAAAGCAGGGGGACACGTCCCCCACCACGCTGTCCCCAGGGCCACCCCGGGCACTCTGCTGAGGAGGAGGCACACAGGAAGATCCCAGTGCTTCCCAAAGAGGCAGAGATGTCACCTCATCTGCTGGCCTGGGGAGGATTTTTCCATGTTTCCAGCACTCTCCATCCTAAAGTGCTTTCCCAGCACTTAATGGCTTTACTTCAGCTCACAGAGCAGCATCCCCAAAGCCCTGAGCACTGGTGCATAATTGAACAACTACAGACCACAGAGAGCAGGCAAAAAGGGGATGACCAAGCTTTAACTCCAGCTTGGGCTCAAAACCAAGCTCTAGTGAAGGCAGGAACACCCTCACTCCTCCCCTGGGGGAGTCCCCTCTCCCCAGCAGGACCCCACAGATCATTCCCTGGCAGGAGTGTCTGGGGTAAGACATCCCAGCAAGGCCACCACACTTCAAAGGAAAAAGCTGTTTCATCTAAGTGGAGAAACAAGTTCCCCAGAGCCCTTGGCAAAATGTCTCTATCAAGAAGCTGAGGAGGAGGAGGAGGGGGGCTGGAAGCAGCTCACCCTCTCTGGAGCAAGGAATGTGCTCAAATTTATTCCATGCCCTCAGGCCAGCAGCGAGGGAGAAAAGTCTCTGCTTCAGCATGAACTGGTACCATTTATCATCATCATCATCATCACCTTGGCATATCTGGGAGCATCACAGTGGGGAGAACCTGACCCAACAGGCAGAACAAGGACACCCAGCCCCTGGGGCTGGGGGGGTTCCACCTGCAGAGCCAACAAGTCTCGGGATGCATCCCATTTCTCCGGGCAGGATCTGCCCAGGGCTGTGCAGCTCCCAAAAATCTGGTGGAGAGAGCCTGTCCTCCAAAAACTGGGGGATAATAAGTCCATGCTGATATGCAGAGGGGTGATGCCACACAGTGCCAGCCCCCAGGTCAAGGCTGTGTGGGCTGGGCAGAGCCAGCTGCCACATCTCCCCAAAAGTTGGTGGGAAGGCACAGACATGCCACAGCCGCCCATCCCCACAGCAGGGATCTGCCAGGGAGCCCCAGAGGAGCCTTTTTGGGGTACAGAAGTGCCATTTGCCAGCCCCTTCTCAGAGCTGGGGTCAGGCCCCTTTTTCACAGTGGTTTTTGTGTGCAGGGGTGGTTTCCAGAGGCACAACACCCACGGGGGAAAATCCCCCTGCAATCCATCCTCCACCAGCGCCACAGAGACGGGCACACCCCAGCACAGGCTGCTCCTCGACTCCTTCCAAAGCCTCAGACAAGACAAAGAATGCACAAAACCACCCAGCTCTGCTGGATGAGCTTTTATCAGCCCTTACCTGTCGCTGTTTCAGGAAATCCAGGGCAATCTGCACGTTCTGCAGGCGGTGGAAGCGCATCCGCCCCTTCTCACGTGGCTGCAAGACACAGGCAGCAGTTTTAGGTCAGGCTCGTGGGGCTGGGCTGGGCTGGCAGCACCCCACATGCACAGTGACCCCCCCTGGGAGCTGTCAGCGTGCTGCTGTGACCCCCCTGTGCCCCCACACACGTCCTGCTCTACCTTGTTCTGCAGTGAATAAGGTCATTGCTATGCACAATCCTGCTGGAAGAAGGTTAAAATGCCCTGCTGGGAGATGGAGGTGGGAAGATGCTGAGATCCAGACCTCTGCTGAGGCCCTGAGGATCTGTGTCCAGGCCTGGCTCAAGCTCTGAGATCCCAGGGCAGGATCTTGCCCAGCTCATGGACAGCCAGACACGCTGGGAAGAGGGCTCAGCAAAGAGGATTCAAACAGGTACAGAGTCCAATTGTCCAGGTGGAGGCAGAGGCAGGACAGGGGGACTCAGGACAGGGGGACTCAGGACAGGAGGACTCAGAGCAGAGGAACTCAGGACTGCAGGAATCCACTGATGGCAGAGGAACCCTGACCTCAGCACCAGCCCCTCCAGCTCTTCCCACACCTGGCAGGGGCTGCTGCTCCAAGTGACTCTGAAGCCCTTGGGAAGGGGCACATGAGGCACCCTGAGCCTTGCCCATCTCTGCTGAAGCTGAGGGATTTCCAGAGGTTTCCAACAGCTGAGCCACAGCCAGGGAAAGGGGATGGGAAGCTTTGAATCAGCAGGAGAGGGAGGAGCAGCACCCAAAGCCAAATCCCAGCCTCAAGATGAGGAATCACCAGGATGTTCATGGAGTCACAGGAGCTTTGGGTTGGAAAGGGCCTTAAAGACCATCTCATTCCAACCACGGTGGGGGGACACAGCCCACAGCCACGTTCTGAACTGCTGGGACACCCCAAGTGCTCAGAGTCACCTTCGTTTTCCAGCCTGAAGGGAAAGAGCTGTCCCAGCAAGGAAGAGTTTTCTTTCCAAGGGGAAATTTTCTCCTGCAAGGGGAAAATCTGTCCCTGCCAAAGGGAAAATCTATCCCTGCAAGGGGAAAATCTGTCCCTGCCAAGGGGAACACCTCCAGGTCTGCAGGGAACCATCAGGAAGGTGCTACAGCCCACTCCAGGGAGGTGACAGTGCACAAGGGCACTGTCACCCCGAGCAAGGGGGCTGAAAAACACATCTGGGCACATTCTGGGGTCTGACCCTCACCTGGGGCTGTGCTGTGCTCACTCCCACCCCCAGTCCCATGCAGGATCCCAGAGGTGCCCTGAGCCTGTCCATGCAGTGCCAGGTGTGCAGCCCTCACAGTGACCCCGAGCAGCGTGAGGGACCTGTCCCTG